GAGAAATTAATAAGAATACATAACCTTTCAAACAAAAACGCTTCCAAAGGTAAAATAAATAAAAATTAATATGCTATACCGCTTCATCTTAACGTCCAATTCATTTCCGTAAACGAGGCCTTACGCCCGGCCAGCTAAAAATAGACGCTCACGATAGCGGCCGAGACTACGTGCCGGAGTTGTGAAATACGCCACTTTTAGAAGAACCTACATTTCGTTCACTATTACGGTTTAAAGAAATTTATTTTAAGCACATTCTTTAAAGAAAATGAGCATTGAGATTCTTAACATAATTATGAACTTAACTATCACTATCTATTGACTGTCACTTAAACCATACCTAAACTGATTTTACTATTTACCTTTAAAAAAATCCTTAACAGCAGTAAACCTTTTGACAGCAGCAGCTTTTGAGCAATGTTGGCCTAGTGGCTTCTGCGTGCGACTCTCATCCCTAAGGTCATGGGTTCGAGCCCCGGCTATGCACGAATGGACTTTCTTTCTATGTGCGCCTTTAACATTCGCTCGAACGGTGAAGGAAAACATTGTGAGGAAACCGGCTTGCCTTAGACCCAAAAACTCGACGCCGTGTGTCAGGCACCGAGGGCTGATCACATGCCAATTAGATTGACAAATGATCATAAAACAGATACAAAAATCTGAGGCCCAGACCTAAAAATGATGAAGCGCAACTAATTTCTTTATTTTAACCTTTTGACACCGGCTCCTCTGCACCAAACGTGATAGACGTATGGAAAAATTAATTTGATACCTTTTAACCAAGCGAATATTAAATTTCTTAATTAAAAGCGGTTTACTATATTCTTCTAGTTGAAAAAATCAAAACTTAGAATAAAAACAAAACATGGTAAAATTTTAGGTTTAAAATTGCCTTACATTTCGAAACCTTAAACCAGTATAGTGATTTCATTCAATATCAGCTTACAGGGAAATTTAAGCTGCCGAGTGGGCAGCTAGTCGCTTAACTGTAATATAGTTTGGACCAACATTTTACATGAAATATGCAACTGAAATAGAGGAGAGAGTGATCATTTACTTTAAATAAATTTTGATAATAAAATTAAACTATTGTCTAACGAACATAAACGCGGTAGTGAAAGAATTTATTAGATTACGTCTTTCCGCAGATTCACACGCGTGGATTTTCTGTTTTGACGAGATTTTTTGTGACCTTTTCAACAATATGCGTATATATATCTATAATTACAGTGTAAACTCTTTATAATATCTAAAGTTATTATCTATTTGTTATAACAAAACCTCTATATAACGTAAAAATGAGTTAAAATTGTTTGGTATCACACAAACCCATACATGGATTTAGTCTTTATAACGAACAGCCACTCTCTACTACGAAGTAATATTTTCATATTTAGACATCAACAACATACTTAAGTGTAATTGTTTTTATAATCAGATTATAAAACTAACCTATTGAGGTGCCGGAATTTCTAAGAAAGACACCTAAGGTCATAAACAGCCTTCTCGCCTTTGTTATTGTTAATTGCATTAACACGTGTGCCATTATTCTTAGATTAGGTACATTGCCTGTAGGATATTTTGGTCTCAGTTACTAAACGCACCATTGTCATTTCTCTTCCGTCCTTATAGAAAAAACTCTATAACGACGACAAATGCTCGGTCCCTTGAACTTCGTTATAAATAGTTAATACTGTACCTTAAGTTTCCTTAATAATCAAGGTTTTTTCGCGTTCATACAGATGGATGCGCTATCTAACAACTTTGTGGCAGTCTTGCGAAGCGTAGACAAGAAGGTTGGCATCGAATGTAAAAATGTAAAAATAAATTTGACAAGGAATTAGAAACGTAACAAGAATCGTCAGAATAAACAACTTTAAATTTACATTTACTACCAAAATCATATATGTTTTTGAAGTTATACTTCTTTAGGCGCGTTATGAAAAATTTATGAGAGTGAAATTTTACGATGCGCGCACCTGTGACACAAATTAGGAGTGTGATTATAGCGTCCGACGAGATAGAATAAGACAATCTACAAGTAAAAAGAAATAGAATATGGAATTCGTATTAAGAATTTTGAATGACCATAATAATTTGTATTTACCTTTTAAACAAATAAAGGATTTTAATTATTTTTTCAAAGAAATTTAGCAACTTTTTGAATTAATAAATCAGAAGTGATTTAAATTGAATATTTAAACCAAACTAATTAATATTTTTGAAAAACGTTATCAACCTTCCTATCTTCATTACAATTGAGGTTAACTATCAGTTTGTATTATTATTATGAGTAATTTTTGATTAAAAAAATTACCACATTGTTTAATCAAAACATGTAATTTTCTCAAAATAAAGAAAGAGACAAAAAACAATTGATGAATAGTGTAAGTGATAAATTGAATACAAAAGAGTTCACTATCTGTGAAACATAAAACTGAGTGGAACAAAACCAAACTATTTTTAATAATGCCAAAGAAGTATACTTTTTATTTAAATTACCTTAATTCAGTTTAAGGCCAAAGGTATATATCATATAAAGTTAATAATTAACGTAACTTAACATCCGTAGAACAAAGTTAAAAGGTTTTTTGAAAAGTTTCACTGTAAATCTTTAAAAATAATTGATATTTTTGCAAGTGTGCCCAAGTGAATTGAAGTTACAACTAGGTTAAATCTGATTACTAAAGTTTATCCAACAACTAAGCAAACAAAGATTTTGAATTTAATATAAATACAAAAAACTAGTTCGTGTTGCATACGTCTATGACAACTATTGAAGTTAATAAATTACCTTCTTTAAGGTATGACTATGACTATGACTCGGTGATCAAATGCAGGGTTTATTTTGTGCGTTTAGCCAAGTGATTTCACTTTACAGTTAGCGGGAACAGTGGGCTTATCATTTATCACAACAATATACCCCCATCGGGGAGTTACAGGACATTGTACTTTTTACAATTTACGTAATAAATATTTATAAAATTAATTTTGTACTTTTTTTTGTATCAAATGATTCGACAGATGATATTTGGGACTGTGTTATAATTTCTAATTAGGAACCACCAGGAACTTATTTCTCTCGATAAACATATTCCTAATTAACAATTTAAAAAAAGGATATTAACAATCTTTTGATTAAAGAAAACCGTTGAAAAGGACATTTATTTAATGAAAATAAATTAAATTTAAAGAACTATTTGGTCCATTCAAGTTTAATCAAATAAAATAACAAACGAGAAGAGAGAAGCGTATTCAAAAGGTTGATTGAAATTCTACCTCAAAGGTTCGTCCCTCTGATTAGATTACCAACATACGTTTGAAGTGGCACGTGGAAGATTTATTTAGTAATCACGTACAAATTAACTGAATACGATGATGAATAAATCTGTATTAATTGTTTAATCCTTTCATAAAAGACGATTTTTACCTTATAAATAAACCGTAATATTACGTACAATCAATTAAAATAGATATAGTTGGCCGCAGAAGTAACTTCTGTTTCCAACATGAATGGTTGAACTCACAGCTATGTGTCATGCCATGTTTTCACAGCTCACAGTAGATTACGGTATGATTGTGAACTTTACACTATTAACTTATGTACTTATAACTAAATAATTGCGTATTATTAATGTAGAATGTTCATGGGTTCTCCCAACTTCATAACATTTCAGAAATAATTTATATGAGCCAAGCATGGAGACGACGTACAGTAAATCTCTATACATACAAATTTCTCGTGTCACAATGTTCGTTTCCATACTCGTCCGAAACGGCTCGACCGATTCTTATGAATTTTTTATGCATATTCAGTAAGTCTGAGAATCGGCTACAACCTATCTTTCAAACCACTAATTAGATACATTTTTATGTTTCTATATTTATAATACACCATACTAAAATACATACATACCCTTAATTTTCACCCATCTACGATCAACCCCTATTTCTTATTATTGTAGATAGTTATTTTTATTGAACTAAAAAAATAATTTCCTAGAAATACTATACATGGCAAAACAAACGTTTGCCGGGTCAGCTAGTATTTGTATAAATTAAATTTAATATAACGTAAACAAATTACCCTGCTGTATTAGTGTATTTTTTTATATAACAAACGAGCAGGAGACTCACCCAATATTAAGTGATACCGCCGCCCATGGACACTTACATTGCCAGAAGGTTCGGGGCCCTTAGTGGAATTGGTTCCGAAATACTTCAGTGCTGCGCGGCAAAAATTGCCTTAAAACACGCTCAGTTTTGGAACGAAATTAGGAGTGTAATAGCATTATATTAATATCTATTATATATATTATTATTTGAATGAGATGTCAATGTGTGCTCCTTAGTTAAACGCTAAAATATTATTTTAAGAGTTGTCATAGAAATTTTATACAGCGTTTTACTATATTTAGAGCAGTGTTGGCTATTAATACTTAATAGTGGCTTCAGCGGGCGACTCTCATCCCTGAGGTCGTACGTTTGATCCCCGGCTGTGCACCAATGGACTTTCTTTCTATGAACACATTCGCTCGAGCGGTGAAGGAAAACATCGTGAGGAAACCGACATGTCTTCGACCCAAAAAAGTCGACGGCGTGTCTCAGGCACTAGAGGCTGATCACCTACTTGCCTATTAGATTTAAAAATGATCATGAGACAGATTCAGAAATCTGAGGCCCAGACCTAAAGAGGTTGTAGCACCACAGATTTCTTTTTTTTTTTTTTTGCAATATTTTAGCCATAGTATATTGCAAACATCTCATTAAATTCACTTTGATCATAGGTATGATGAAACGAGGTCGTTTTTAGGTTAATATTTATTTCAAATACACAAAATCATTTCCCGATTACAGTAGGTAGATAAAATAAATTGGCATATGCTATACTAAGTTTACATTTATTGTTATTAAAAATACTAACGTTATATTGTTTATAATTTTTTTTCTTAATCCAACCAAAAATTACATTGATTGCTTCATTGCGATTTTATTCATAAATGAATTCAATTTCAGAATGCCCCCCGGCTGCTGATGGCATGGAAAGATTCGCATGCCCCACACCCGACCGTCAGGGGCGTTATAGATGTATCGACGACCATGTGCTCTGTGATGGCTTCATTGACTGCCCCAGTGGGGAGGACGAAGATCGACAGGCATGCATGTTTTATAAGACGGTAATTATCTACTTCTTTGCTTATATACATTATTTTTAAAACTTAGTGGTAAATGGTTAAATCAGACGTTACAAAAACACATTTGCTGAAGAGCCCAAAAAAGGTTTTTAAAATTATACGTAGCATAGTATATAGTAAATTGTAATTTAAATATGTAAGTTAAAGATATAATGTTGTTATATATTATTATTGAGAAGTGCTGGCTTCAGCGTACGATTATCAACCCTGAAACACACTACGAAGCAACGACTGGTTCGAGCCCCGGCTGTGCAGCAATGGACTTTCTGTCTATGTGAAGGAAACAACGTGAGGAAACCGGCATGTCTTAGATCCAAGAAAAGGAGACGGTGTGTGTTAGGCAGAAGAGAAAAAACAATTGAACACGAAACAACCTAAGACGTTGTACCGTTACTTTTTACCCACAATTCGTCTATTTGTAGCCAATAATATTAAAACAATTATACTGCATTTATTTTAAAATTTTGACAAATGTTTCAGACAAAAGCTCACTTGGACGTGCTGGCCGACGCGCTGCTGCGGTGGGCGCGCGGCCGCTAATCATCCCTCCGAACATTTAGTTCTTGAACATTCCATCAGTGATTCTCAAATAGACTGAGACATTATTGATCCTATTCAGTTACGCTGCTAACGCATGACGTATTTAGACGCAACCAGTACTAATTACAGACGTTATGAAACATATCAAGTGGTGCAGGCGGCGAATAACCACTAAATAGTGTAAGGATTCCGAAAGCCAGCGAATTGTTCGTTAGCTATTGTGTGTAGTGGTAACAGTCGTTGGAACCTGGTTACGTCAAAATAATCTCTCGGCAGCTATTTCCTCAATGTTTAACTTCTAGCAATTATTAAACTAAAATGTAAGACTGGTAGTCGACATTGTTAGTCGGTAGAGCGTATATGAATATTTTGGTTTATAGCCCTTCATTTGAAATATAAATCTATTTATTGTATTTATTCGGATAGTTTTAATTACTTTATGCATTCCTTGAAATGAGGGTTTTAAGTAAATAAGCGTTCATATTCTTCTAGGTTAGGTTGACTAATATGTGTTTATTTTGAATTAACGGCCTATATTTGGCGTACTGCACAGACTAGCAGTAAGCCATCGATTCCTATGGTTATTATTGGTTATTTCAGTAGGCTTACGATAAACAAAACCGTCTTGTTACTAGGCAGCTATAAATGTAATACAAAACACGAACGTTATGTTTACTATTTGAATATGTCGATACTAAAATTATTGCCGAATAAGTCAATTATTTTTGATTTAATTTTATCTATGTGAAGTCAAGACTCCAAGAAAGTTCGGCGGCATTAAACATAACATAAATAATTGTGTTTCATATTATTTGTGACACTTACGTCTTTAAAATCTTGCAGCCCGCATCCTATATTAGAAAACTTAGATTTAAAAGTAAACTATTATTTGTCGTCTCTTATGATAATTACAAAATGTACTAAATTACAATTAGACATATATCTGATGTTATAATATAGTTTAAATGTTAAAAATATATGTAGTTTATATTATAAAGTAGATCTGCATTTATTGTAATACTAAAATTATCGCACCAATTTGTATGAATAGATATTATAGCACTATTTTGTGTCTAATAGATTATAAAGTATTGGTTTCCATAGTTAAGTGTAGTACGAGTCATTAATATAGGAATTAAGGATGCGATCTATAAGATTATATGATTACTCATTGTGGTACTTTGGAGGCCGATCAGAGCTAATTTTTGTTTAATAAACACCGATGTGGTCTGTTAGAACCCAGGTTCTTGAGCCATCAGACTCTTCGGTATTTATATTAATATTATTTTAATGACTAATGCTTTGATTTGAGGTACCACAATCGAATTATCATAAAACTAGTAACTTTAAGTCTTAAATGCCGAAGAAGTTTCTTTAACAGGTCAATTATTTTTTACTACAGTTTTTATTTCAAAGAATATTAAAACACATTTCTCATAAATGACTTTTCGGCAAAATAATTGGCGACGTCTTGTTCTCGAACCATTCCTAAGTGTAACCACTGATTTATTAATAATAAATATAATTATAATAAATATATTACCTATAATGTATTTGCACTCAAAATTTGCCCGTTTCGTATGTGCACAGCAATTTATTGTGATATTTTAAATATTTTAGATTAAGGCGAATCATTATCTCGGATATATGGATATTAGTTCGTTTGCAAATATTATTAGCTCTGTATTGAATACAGGCTATTTCCTTGCAAACCGCTGAAATCTTATGCTGAAGCTAAAGGCTTAATTCTCTAAGCTGTTATTATTTTTCCCTCTACGCAATTGCACTGCTGATTACATCAATATAAATGTATGTTAATGGTGTGTATTTGTGATCTTTACCTCCTAGATGTAATGACAACATTTTTAATATTATTCTCCAATACAATGGGATTGTAACCCTGTATATGTATTTCCCATTTCCATTTCACCTGTATCTAACAAATGGAAACTTCATTTACATACCCATTTATTAAGAGAATATTATATAAACGCTTGACGCTCGTTATATCTTCCCGTTCAGAATTCTAAAGTATTTTCATTATATTTTATTTTGACGCAAACACGGCTAACCTAAAGAAACATCCACCAAGATTATTGTTTAAAAACAATATTTTTAGAACTCACTTGTAGATATTGAAGATCACACATACGAAATTTTCATAGAAATTCGGCCACCGAGCTCAAGTTTCCTTAAAGACGTGTGATTATTATTTCGCTGATTCTGAATTGTATTATTTAAGAGTGCAACTATTTTTGTAGATACGTATATACGTTCAATTACCACTAGATAGAGATTTACATATTATATTTTCTCATAATGTTATGTTTGCCAAAGACAAACAATTGTAATTAACTATTCTTCTTACCGCACAAAATTTAAAGCATAAACAATTTTTAGAACATTCTATTTACAGAGAGCATAGATGCTAAATTTCCATAGAATTTTCCCAAAGGCATTTTGCTCAGACTGTTGTCATTGCGTAGCCTTTGAATTAAGAATAACTCCGAGAGAATTCTTATGCAACAGCGACACTAGTTAAAGTTAATTTACCATCTGTACATTTTCCTAACCTTCGTTATTTTGATCACCTGATAATTCTCTCAGAGAATATTCCTAAACCTTAACCGACGCTAGTGAGTTGCCTAACCGTATTCGTGTCAAGCAGCTCACATGACGGTAATCTTATAACGACTACGCTATTTTGTAGGCGTAATATACTTTTGGACTATTTATTACGTATTGTTAATTACTATATATGTTGTATTAAGATAAAAAATCGAAAAATAAAAATAAATGTTAATAATAAATGCCTCAGCCAGATGAAAGAAGTGTTTTAATTACTTAATTTTAAAAACTCCTGCAAAGATCAAGTCACACACAATTTATTTTTTAATACAGTTGCTCAAAAAGTGGCGTATTGCAGGGAGGTATAGCGTTCGGGATGTGGGCTATTACACACTCGTGCTTTTTTTTTACCTTTTCCGAACTAGTGCGTTTTCTTTCCCAACTGTCAAAATAATGTCTATTAAAAAGAAAAAACCAACCACGAAGTTTTTACTAAAAAAAATTCATAGAAATTTTTATGATTCATGCAAATATTTCTAAAAAGAAGCTACTGCTTTGTTTCAATATAAGATTTAATGATTTGATTCAATGAGTTAGGTTAGATTTCATTTCATCTCCTTAAATTTCATTTCATATCAATAAAAAATTGTACTGAAGACTTGGCTGTATGGGCATAGTTCCCTTTGCCTACCCAAAATGGGTGAAGAAAAAAAAATCTGCTTATATTCTTTTACCGTTGGCGCCATTTTCCAAAAATGTTCGTTGCGCGTTTAGTTGTTTGTTATATTATATATTAAATATACATGAAAAAACATACGAAATAAATAATAGTTTGTCTCAAACAGTAAATAAATATGCAACCTAAAACTTCTTATAAAAAACTGTACCAAAGTATATGTGAACAATAATTTGTATAAGAAATAAATGATTAGTGAGTTGAGTTTAATGTTTTTTTTATTATTTTATTAAATTGCTTAATTTTTTCGCAACTGTATTAAAAATAGTTGTTCAGTACACGTGCGGAACCGTCATTGCAACTTGTTCCGACTGTCAACCCTCACCTTCGGCTGCGCCTCGGCTCGGCTAGACATTTGTCGAAACTCTTTGCAATGACATGCTTTCCGCACTTGTAATGAAATATACTATATCCTGGAAGCAAAAACTATAAATTTCATTTACAAAGATATTTAATTGACTAAATGTTCAGTGAATAAGGATGCAAAGTCCGTGCGATGAAGTCTCTTCTTATTTTTAATAATTCAATAGGATCCTATGAATGCAAATAAAATGCAAGTGTATTATACAAATAAATAAAGTAGGTATTTTAATAAATAGATTTTGTGGGAGACCTCGTTTAATATCGATAGACTATACTGTATCCAATACGTAGTCCCTTTAAAAGGCTCACGCTGATAATTGATTTTTAGAAGCGTTTGCAGTAAAAACATTTAAATTATATATGTAATACAATATATTGGAAGTTTAATCAGTTACCTTGTCTTAGGTCTTCTTGTGTAAAGCGACATCTTTTGAGTGATATGAATCAATTTGTTATATTTCTTAACAATAAAAGAAAATACAAATACATTTAGGCTGTTATATGTATAATTTTCTTTTGAATAATTTGATTTAGAATTTAATTTAATAAATTTTTATAATATCCCACAACTCGCAAACTGTACAACAATCAAATGAACCTAACCCGCCATTTGCTCATTGACATTGACGGGTCATTGACTTCAGGAAACGACATTTAATTATGATGTTGCTATAAAATTAGCTTGTTTTTTTAGCGGAAAATCTAACCAAAAAGGTTAAAACTAAAAAGTGTTGGATTTGATGATAATTTAAAAAATCTAACATTGAGTTGAATGAGATGAACTTGTTTATACTTCACGACTAAGCAACTATCTGAAATGAAGTAAATAGGATTTGCATTTGTGACTTGGTTGAAAATGGGAAGCAAGTACTAGCAACACAAACAGCTGTGACATTTCTTTGTTTTCATTACTATTTGTATTTTGTAGGCATTCTTGTTTCTGTTGGGCATTGGAGTTAGTTGTTTGCTTCTTGTGCTTTATATTATATTTCATTGTTTAAGTGGAAGTGAATGCAATAATGTCGACGTGTGATAGTCAGAGGGCTGAGGCCTCGAGGGATAACGTTTCTCAAAATTCTGTAGATGAGGGTTTACCGCGAGAGCTTAGCCAACTTAGCCTTTCGAGCGGCTCCAGTCCAGATGAATTTCACTGCAACAAAGGGCATTCCGAAGCAACATTAAAGAACATTTTTGGATATTACCAATCACAAAAACTCTGCGATGTAGTCCTTATTGCGGGTACTTGCAGGTAAATATTCGTATCCATTTACGGAACACTCTTTTGTTCAACCAAACAAAGACGAGATATATGCATATTTAAAAAAAACTTTTTGTATTTAATGCTTAATATGTTTAAAATTTAGTGGCTTAGTTATGACAAATTTATTGCAGTAATTTCTATTAAAATTTTTGCACTTTTATTGAAATATCAAATAATATTCTAGCAATAAATTAATTAATAAATCGTTTTTTTTAATGAATGACTTTTACAAAATTTAAGAAATTAATGTATATAATTTTTTTGCTAAAAATGTACTTAGTTATATGAAATGAGTATTGTATTATTTGCAGAATTCCCGTCCATAAGTTGGTGCTAGTATCCTGTAGTGAATATTTTGCTGCAATGTTCATGGGTTCACTACAAGAATCAAAATCATCAGAAATAACATTAGAAAGAGTAGACCCTCAGGCTTTAAAAACCTTAGTGAATTACTGTTATACAGGTATCATAGGTAAGTTTAAATAACTCAATTAATCAATGCTTGTTGTTTTTTGTCTAATCCAACTATTGAAAAAGTTTATTTAAACACCTCTTTTTTCAGAATTAAGTGAAGATACTGTAGAAGTCATATTATCAACAGCCACACTTTTACAATTGAATGTAGCAGCAAAAGCTTGTTGTGATTTCTTAGAGAAACAACTTGACCCGTGTAATAGTTTAGGTATTGCGTTATTTGCGGAGCAACAGTCATGTCTTAGTCTACACAAAACTGCTATGCAATATACATATCAACATTTTATGCAGGTAATGAAATTACTTTTTTAAAACTATATTCAAATGCATAAGTAAGTTACATATGTAAAAATATATGATTTTGACAAACAGGAGTATGCCCTAATCCTCAACTCTAAATCTTACCCACAGTGTCATGTAAAATATTTTTATAAATATATACACATGATATACAACATGTTGCTGGCTTTCTAGTTTCTAAATACTTTCTATTTACTTTTCATTGTCCCTATGGTATTATGATGTATTTATAATTTCTATTGTGATAGGCTTAACTGCTTAATGAAGCAGCAAACAAATTAGTTTTCCTAGACAACTAGATTTGCTTAATTATCTTCCTGAAAGTTTCTCCCAAAGGGAAGCTTTGTTTTGTATGCATGACAAACAAAGCTATAGTAAAACAGTCTATTTATAAAAAACTTCTACAATTGCTATTTAAAAATGTTGCATTATATGGAATAAATTGCAGTTCTCCATTTATAGACATTTTTAAATATTTACGAGGCTATTCATAGTGTTGCAATTTATACATTTATATAATTATTCAACTTCCTGCAGTGCAGCCAAGTATAAACTGATGGAAATTTCCTAAACATACTGTTCTACATATTATATTTTAGTATGGAGTTCTTTGTGATATTTAAATATAATTATTATATAGTATTTAGAAACTATCCTAAAGATGCAAGCAAAATTCCTTAACATAAGGTTGTAGGACTCCTTTTTCCGCAATTAGATTCATGATTGGTCCGTTGTGCGTCAAAGTCCTGGCTAATTTAGCCAGCCTAGCTCCTTCCAGAAGCACAGAAGTCTCCTGGGCACTTCACAGGCTTCCTGGAGCGACCTCACTGTTCCGAGGATTTTTTTTTCGTTGATTAGCCACAGCCTTGCATTCCAGGACTATGTGGGTGACTTATGAATGCCTTAACGTATATCAATATCAATAATTTATCCATACAAATACAATATTTTTAACCAATTGACGCAATGCTAACAAATTTTTCTCTCTGTATGAAGCAATTCATGCATTTTAAACATATTTTATCTACTCATATAAACAATTAAACATAGTATATTTTATACAGTAATATGATTTTGCAGGTGGTAAAAAATGATGAGTTCCTACGCCTGAGTGAAGAGCAGCTGTCAAGTTTATTGAATTCAGATGATCTCAACGTAGTAACTGAAGAGAATGTCTTTGAGAGCTTGATGTTGTGGGTACAACATGACGTCGCAGATAGACAGAAGTATCTCCCCAATTTACTCAAATTTGTGAAACTGCCACTATTATCATCAGAGGTATATTATTCTTGCTTTATTACGTAATAATTATATATTTTAACAACATTAATAGCAAAGGTAATAAAAAAATTTAACGAAATTTACATACTAAATAATAACATAATTTTAAAAAAATTGAAAAATTCTACCTAAAAAACTTTGGTGATATAAAGAAATATTTTTATCTTTTCCAGTATTTGATAGACAAAGTAGAGTTTTCTTGTGGTAATGTGGCGGGATGTCAGCCATTGATAATGGAGGCTGTCAAATGGCACTTGTTGCCTGAGAGGAGATCTCTGCTCTTCTCTCACAGGACTCGGCCACGAACTTCCACTATTGGAAGGTTATTAGCTATTGGTGGAATGGATGGTTACAAGGTAATGGTTTTTCATTATTTGTTGTTAATATAAGTGTCCAATTCAATGATAATTACGTAACAGAAATCTTATTTGTAACAAATTAAAAGCAATGAAAAAATATCATAAAATAATAATGGCCAAATTTTTTGGCCTTCGCTGGTTAGAGTCGAGGAACCTTTAGGGAGACCTATAGGGGGAAACGCACTTCATACACCATAGACAATATAATACACAGTTTTTAATTTTCAAATTTTATATTCCAAGGGTGCAAGTAACATGGAGATGTATGACCCGCGCACAAACACATGGAGTCCCTATATGCGAATGGGTGCGAGACGGCTTCAGTTCGGTGTTGCCGTGCTTCAAAATAAATTGGTTGTGGTTGGCGGACGGGATGGACTTAAAACGCTCAACACGGTGAGTAATCGTTAATTTGTCAAATGTGGATGACATTGTATTACTTGTACTACGTAATTTTGGCAAGTATATATTTAGAACAGTACGGTATATGAAGAATAGTGACGGTTCTGACAAATAGTAAACTATACAGGGCAGCCATTTCAAAATAATATAATCATGTTAGTTTTTGTCATAACTATTTTAATTCATATTCTATTATTATGAAAATTGCCATACAAGCAAACAAAAGGGTTTGTTTTGAAACAAAATAAAAATAATAACATTAAATTACACAGTTTTCTATAAAAATCACATTCTTCTGTGAAATCCGTCACATTACCGACTGATTAATTTGAAATTTAAAACATATGAATTTTTTTTAATGTATCCGTAATGTTTAGTCAATGTAGTATCCAAATATGACAAAAAGTTGATTTTTCTTAAATCCGGCATTGTTCTACGATCATGACGATTTGTTAGTTTGGCTAATAGTGTTTCTAATATTATTTATAGTGATCGTCCAATAAACAACAAACTTATTTTTTTTATTCTTTGGCTTTAGTTAGGTATTTAATTGCTAAGTTAATTGTATATTTAAAAAAAACCCCGTAATTTTCATAGATTCTTAGTTTCCCTACAACTATTTTAATTTTTGTTTTTATATTTATATTTGTTTTTTTCCTATTTCATAGTAGGTTACCTAATTTTGTGTTTAAGTATAATATATTTGCACTTACTCGGTAATTTTTGCCATCTTGTCTTTCGTACTTTTTTCTTCAAAGATTGTATTTATTCATTTATAAAAAATCTATTGAAACTTTTCTTACCAAGCCAAAACAATAGTGTCGAACATTCAATGTGTTTTGGCTTTATATGTGCAATAAAGAAAACTTTTATGACATTGAAAATCTTTACATTAACAACCTTTCCCTGAATATGCCTCTGATTTACATGTAAAACCAGGTGGAATGCTTCGACCTGACTTCTTTGAGTTGGAGTACTCTAGCTCCCATGAACACGCACAGACATGGGTTAGGCGTGACCGTATTAGGTGAAGGGCCAAATTCGCCCATTTACGCTGTGGGAGGACACGACGGCTGGATATACCTCAATTCTGTTGAGAGGTCGGTACAATGATTTCCATTTTATGTTTTAGTTTATCTTTAAATTCTTGACTTTTCCTTATGTATGCATTTTTGAAGTGAAACTTCTTTATCGAGGTTGGAAAAAAATTTAGTGTAACATTTTTTCGTTACGCGTCACATTTTTCGGTTACGCGCCATGTTGCTTTTTGAAGTCAAACTTCTTTATCGGCGTTGGAATGAAACTTCTTTATCGACGTATGGGAGAAATTTTGTAGCAAATCGTCACTATAGTAATAATTCTATTACAATTAATGAAATTCTATAATAATCTTCGTAGTAATAAGGTAAAATGAAATATTTGTATTCATGTCTATGATAATAAAAGCCTTTTGTTAAACTTTATCTAATTTAACGAATTTCTGTAAAGTTGCATATAGTAGATCATTTTTCGAAAAATAAGATCATAAAGAAGTTTCACTTCTTACGTGTGTACACCTAGTACACGCACAATGTATTTTTTTTTATATACAAATCTATGTTCGGATTAATGCAGCTGAGTTTCATCATCGGACCTCGAGGCAGAATACGAATTTCTACCCGTATCGCCTTGCACTCCGTCGTTCCACAACTGAGCGTTTCTTAAGGCAGTTTTTTATCGGATATTCTTAATACTCCTTTTAAGCAAATACTGCGATAGCTTAAAGCTTTTGGTGTCTAATCCTGAATATAAAGGAGCGTAATATTTTAAGAAAATAAATTCAAAATTTAAGATGGGACGCGTGCTCTCGCTCATGGACGATAGTCGCGAACATGTCCGGCGCTCGCAGTACGTGCGGTGTTGCCGCTTTACGCGGTCGTCTCTACGCGGTGGGTGGTCGCGATAGCGGGGCTTGTCTCCGCTCAGTCGAGTGTTACCATCCCGCTACTAACCATTGGACGGCCTGCGCTCCCATGAATCGACGCAGGGGAGGTGTCAGTGTGAGTATTATCATTAACCAATTAGACTAGAAAAAAACTAAAGGAAATTGCATAAACTTGCTTGCGGCAAACACGAATGAGATTTTTGAGTTAGTCTTATAAATTAAATAAAAAATACTCATAAAACACATGTCTGTTTAAAGAAAACACTTTTTTTTAACGGATTGAAGCTATGTATTATTATAAACTTGTAATTATTTTACATAATTTAAAATTTTTCTTGACGTTTTGCGTACTTTACAGTGTGCGTGTCACTGTGTCTGAAGACAGAAGGTGTTTAATGTCAAAAAGTATCACAGCTGTAGAAAAAGTTATATTATCTGTATTTATTTCCCCGGAGTTGATATCGACTAAAAGATGGAGGGTTTTTGCAGAAATTACTCACGGTGTCCTCTATTTTCGCGGATTGTTTGTCTAGAGATTTTAATTTGGATATTATTGGATCCCAGGTGTTTGATAATTTCTGTCCATGTCTGTCCCATGTTCCATTGGGTAATTACTGGACTACATTCATACTGTGCCTATACTATATAATCATTATACGACAAAAAAAATTTATTATATGTATGCTTCTCTAAATAAAATAAATATCCAGGTATGTGCCGCCGATGGCTACCTATACGCTTTAGGGGGCCACGAAGCCCCCGCAAACGCCACTGGGGGCCGCCTCGCGTGTGTCGAGAGGTACGACCCCATCGCCGACAATTGGGTGCTACTCGCAAGGTTGTCGTACGGTCGGGACGCGATCGGGTCGTGTCTTTTGGGCGATCGAATCATAGCTGTCGGTGAGTATTTGAACGTTTGAATTTCGAATTTAGTGTTTTTTGTCAAACTTGAAATTATCATTATAACACATATTTAATTACTGATTTGGTGTTGAATTAAATCTTGTAATACTGTAAAGCTTTTTTTATAAAATGGTGTTTTATAATCATCTATAGATATCTCCTAAAAGCAGATGAAATCAAATGCTTGAAACTATTTTACTTGACAATCAATCAAATTCAAACTAAATGAACGTAACATAGCCCTACTTTCTCAGTTTTTGTTCAAAGACAGGTTTTTGTAACCACAGACAACAAAGATGACTCATAGAAATTGTATTTTTTTTTAAATAAAATGTCTGCACAATGACAATTTAACATTACGATCTAGCCTAACATAAGACTAATAGGTAATATAAGTCTAACCTAATTTACTAAAAAGGATTTTTATCATAAGGAAGTGTCCATTAACACTACTTACAGTCTTTATTAAGGGGAAGACACTCGGTTCTTATACTATTCATAGAATATATTTTTATTGACATATAAATTTTAATATATTTTTACTAAATCATTTCCAGGTGGATACGACGGTGTAAAATACCTATGTGTAGTGGAAGTATACGACTCTGAGTCCAACTGTTGGCGCAAGTTAGCTCCACTAACGACAGGCCGCGCAGGCGCAGCTGTCGTCGCGATACCTCCGCCGAGGTTGTGCTGATATTCGTTTGTGATTCGAATAACTAGTCGTAAAACTACTTTTATAAATTCACTTTAAGTCGTAATAGACCTCCGCACTTATTACCATATTAAGGTTCTTTGGTACTTATGACCCTTATGGTAATGGTAATGGTTGGTAGACGCAGTTTCCGCACTTAAGACTCTCATTAGTTCCGTTGTGCGAAAAGTACTGGCTAACTAAGCCAGCCTAGCCCCTTCCAGAAGCACAGAAGTCTCCTGCAGGCGTCTCGGAGCGACCTCATTGCTCTGAAGATTTCAGTACGTTGTTTAGCCACAGCCTCGCAGTTCAGGACTACGTGGGTGACTGATTCCTCTGCGCTGAAACAGCCTCTGCACATGGGGCTGTCTGTCGCGCCTAGGACAAAGAGATGTTTGTTAAGGAGACAATGGCCCTGACCTGCCTTATCATCAACATGGTGTGGCCAAGGCTACTACTCTGTAGAAAACAATTTATACTACTTGTGATAAAAATCTACGTATTTTTTTGTTTTATCTAACAGATACTTGACAACCCAAGTGGAGAACACAGAACAAGAAAGTCACAAGTTTTTTGTCTTAAAGACAATTCAGTATAATTAATTAACTTGCCATTATAAGAGGCTTTTTGGATTTCTATTTTAAATAACGAAAACGATACAATTCGGAGACGTGTGTCGTTAACTGTGATAAAATTCAACTATTAAAGAAAATGCATTGCAACATTCCGGTACAGAAATACTTTTTTGCCATGGTAACACAAACCATCTGTTTTTTTTTAGATTTAACTATGTGTCACGTGACATGACTATATATAATACTCACTATTTTTAATCAGTTTAAAGACTTTTTTGAAATCATTATTAAATTTATGTATTTAACGACATATAGTAAGACTCCACGGACATTTAATCTGGCAACCATGTCGTCAAAGCCTGAAGATTTGAAAATCTCTATGGGTTCAGATGTGTTTGTGGTGTTATTTTAACAATTTTAGTGCATTTATTTTGACGTGTAAAAAAAAGGATTGCACCTTTGCTCAAAATACTATATTTCGTAAATAATAGAGAAAATAAATAATAAGCTAGTTATTTTCTATTTGTGATCTCAATTAAATTTATACATTTTTTTAGGTACTGTTTTTCTTTCAAACTTTTATACTCGGTTTATAAGTTTTAAAGAAAAATAATGTATTGTAACACCATCTGTGGGTAGAAGTAAAAATTTCCTCATAATTGGTTTTATTCCTTAAAGCACGTCAGTATTACGATTATGACCTACAATGTTTTTTCTGTGATTTTAAGACTAAAGTATACATTTATTTTATATAATTTTTTTGGTTTTAAGTATATTATTTTCAAATATCGAATGTCTATTTTAAGTTTTGTATCTCTTAATTTATAAGTTACCCTCGCTAATTATTCGAATAGAGGTGCGAATTTTCGTAGTAGAAAAAAGTCTAATTAATAGTTTTAGATAGTACATTGTAACGGTTGTTGGGTACATAGTTAATAATAATTCATATAACCGAATAATACATAGACGCTTCCTAATATTTTGAATTTCGAACGCGTTCTTTGTTTCATTTTAATATAAATATTAAAATTTAGAGTTAAAACCATAGACAAGAGACGAAACCGTGCGTTTTATTGACATTGGTCTAGGGCTAGGCCCTAGATGACTCCACATATCACATCACGTGACAACGTGTGTTAGTAGACTAGAGATGCTGTTGACCACTCCCCGTTCAATGGTTTTAATGCTGATTTAAAACTTTTCCCCTTCAAAATAAGGTCGTTAAGTCACATTTAATTACTCTATTTTTTTTTTAATAAAGTGATTTTTTGTGCATTCTCTCAAAACTAGGAAACATAAAATATAAGTTATTAGCGATTGACATATTAGCATCATATGGAAATGAGCTCTTGATTTTTTTAATATAAATGTTTAGACTGAAATATAATTGTGAACATAACTAAATATAATCCTTTGTATTTTCGTATGATAAAATATTCTTGAATAAATAATTGTTGTATTTACTGATGTATGTATTAGGTCCTTACATATGAAATTGGCGTATTTCGTACTGGCCACTTTAATCACGATGTTCTCCTCTTTGGTAAGGAATTGCAAATTCAAATTTGTACAGCTATTTACTCATGTATTTGTGCTTCGATGACCGTCATTCATTTGTTTTTTTCTGTTTGCGTCACTCATTTTACAAAATGGAAAACTTAAAGTATCGCATTATTTACGAGTACGAATTCCGCCGTGGCACTAGTGCTGCGGAAACGACTCGAAGGGTGAATGATGTGTATGGCGGTCATGTTGCAAAAGAAAACACAGTTCGTTTTTGGTTCCAACGTTTTCGTTCTGGAAATTTCGACCTGCAAGCTGAAGGCTATTGTGGAAGCGGATCCATCGCAAACCACGTCCGAGTTAGCTGCAGGCTGCGGTGTTAGTGATAAAACTGTTTTAATTCACTTGACGCAAATTGGGAAGATTAAAAAGCTTGAAAGATGGGTACCTCACGAATTGACTGAAGCAAACCGGCAAACGCGCGTCGACTGCTGCGTTACATTACTGAACCGGCACAATAATGAAGGTATTTTAAACCTAATCATTACCTGTGATGAAAAATGGATTCTTTACGATAATCGGAAGCGCTCAGCGCAATGGTTGGATCCTGGCCAGTCAGCCAAATCCTGCCCCAAGCGAAAATTAACCCCAAAAAAGTTACTTGTAATCGTTTGGTGGGCTAGTGCCGGTATTGTTCATTGCAGTTTTTTCAAATCTGGCCAGACTATTACGGCTGATGTCTATTGTCAGCAATTGCAAACCATGATGGAAAAGCTAGCGGCTAAACAACCTAGGCTGGTCAATCGCTCCACGCCACTGCTACTTCACGACAACGCTAGACCACACACTGCACAACAGACGGCTACCAAATTAGAAGAGCTTCAATTGGAATGTCTAAGACATCCTCCGTACTCCCCGGACCTTGCTCCAACAGATTACCATTTTTTTTCGAAATTTGGACAACTTCTTGCAAGGGAAAAAATTTAACTCTGATGGGGCAGTCCAAATCGCCTTCACAGATTTTATTGATTCCCGTCCGACTGTTTTTTTTAGTAAAGGGATCAATTAACTACCTATAAGATGGCAAAAGTGCATAGAAAATAATGGTCCATACTTTGATTAATTAAATATATTATATTTAAAAATATTCGACTTTTTGTTCCTCCCATACAAAACGCCAATTTCATATGTAAGGACCTAATATATAAAAGACGACTTAATTGTCTTAGGTAGTATAAAAGAGAGACTTCGAAGAATTCAATAATACTCTGTCTAGTTAATGCATATGCAGTCGCCATGGATTTCAGGTAGAAGTAACTGCCATCGGACATTATAATTCATATTGTTTTCTCATAAAATAACTTTGTTTCATTATTTTAACCAAACTATAAACTTCATACTCAATACCAGTTCAGTCAAGAACGAACGAGACTGTAAGCTGTTACTAATTTACTTCTGTAAGAATTTTCGATAGAATGAAGATTCGATGTAGAATAACGAAAACTTCGCGTATTTAGAAATTTAATCAGTATAATTATTAGTTTTGCAACCAAACAGAATTACATATGGGCGATATGTAATTCGTTTTGTGTATTATGTTTTCACAATTTATAAAATACATCACATTAATAGTCACTCGACACAACCCGTCATTTTCATACAGCTCGACACTTTCCCGCCAAAAATTTAAAATCGAATGAGAGATTGTCACATCCTTGATTTGACAATTAACACATTAAAGAACTGTCAAGACTCTAGAAGCGACAGTCACTTGAATTCTAAAGTGTGCGTCTGTTCTATGAAAAAATATTTGAAAATCTGAAATTACATTTCTATTTGCTTTTGTTAAACACAATAAAACATCGGAAAATGGCTTTACATATTCCAAAAGCACCAGGTGTACCGCAGATGTTAAAAGATGGAGCACGGGTAAGTTTATAAATTATAACCAAAAACTCAGGCTTTGTCATGTGCCGCTGACCATATGACCACAATTTGTTTAATATTTCTACTTGGACCATATAGAATGAGAATAAAATGCTACATTTCAAACATATAAATCAAAAACCTTTCAGTCTGTTGCTTTTGTGTTGTTAAAAAGTGTTTCTTGAATTCTAAGTGTTAATACTATTGTGCACAGCGTTTCGAAAAATCAAACACAATCTAGGAATTAAATGGCACCTGGGTGTAAAGTGTACACATGTATCTTTTATCGTAAAAACTACAAAAGTTCTCCCACAAGTTATAAATACTTTATTCGTTGATTTCTTTCAGATGTTCTCAGGATTAGAGGAAGCTGTCTACAGGAATATTAATGCTTGCAAAGAGTTTGCTCGAAGTGTAAGATCTGCTTATGGACCAAATGGGATGAATAAAATGATAATAAACCATATTGAAAAGCAATTTGTTACTAGTGATGCAGGTACAATTATACGCGAGTTGGATGTAGAACATCCAGCTGCTAAACTCATGGTACTGGCAAGTCAAATGCAGGACTCAGAGGTCGGTGATGGCACAAACTTTGTAATTGTGATTTCTGGAGCCCTCTTGGAAGCAGCTGAAGAGCTTCTACGTTTAGGTGTTACAACTAGCGAAATTGCTGATGGATATGAAAGGGCTCTTGACAAATGCTTGGAAATTCTTCCAGAACTTGTTTGCTTTGAAATAAAGGATTGTAAAAACTTTGATGATGTAGTAAAAGGTATTAAACCTTCAATTATGTCTAAGCAATATGGAAATGAAGATTTTATTGGTAACCTAGTTGCCAAAGCCTGCATTGGTATTCTGCCAGAGAAGACCACATTCAATGTGGACAATATCAGGATTTGTAAGGTAATATTGCTTATATTGTTGGAATAGCATGAGATCCAGCTGTCATGTTTGACCACTGATGTATTTGTGTAACTTTCTCATTTCATCTACCTTGGCCTGCTTGTAACCAATGTAGGGCACAGTTATGTATTAGATATAACATATCTTTCGAACATATATGTGGTCGCTGTAGAATGATTACCTTATATGTCAAAAAACCATTTATATTTTTTATTCTTAGACTCCTATGTCATTTAACTGGTATAATCATGAAGTAAGGACTTATTTATGTTATTAATAAATAAGTCCTTTTTACCATCTAAAACTATGGACAAAAACACAACAATTTTTTAACGAACATTGAACAAATGAAACATTTTTTTTAGTTTCCTTTAATGTTTGATTCTCCGGACATCCAAGGTTATCATTCTACAGCGACAATGTATCAATGTACAATCGCTGAATATATCTACAAATATGTTTCAACAGAGTGCACAAGTCCAATCATAACTTTTCATCATATGTTGTCATCTTCATATGTTGTGATCAAGTGGATTACAATATTATTTTTACCCAACTTTTTTGTAACATGAGAATTATATGTATGTATGTAATTATTTATCCTTAATTAATACTTAGGAAAAGGGTTTTTTTAGCACCTTGGCAAAATTATATTCCTCTGTTTAAACTTCTACTAATAAGTTATCTTGGACATTGTAGATTATTAAAAGTATGATAGAAATGAGTAAACGAGTGACCAATAATTATATTTTTAATGTTTTAAATGTGTCATCAAAATCAAATCAAAATTATATATTCATATAGGTAACACAATGTACACTTATGAACATCAAAAAAGAAATACATATTAAATGCTTCTAAATTTACATTTACTGCCAGTTCTCAAATCAAGAGAGAAGAACTGGCAATAAACCAGTCAATTACCCAAAAACATTATCAATTTCATTTTTTAAAAGTTCCTATAACAGAACTTTTTTATGTTAAATTGACCATACATTTTATATTTTATTCAGATTCTTGGAGCTGGACTCCTGCAGTCTGATGTCCTCTCAGGCATGGTGTTCAAACGTGAAGTAGAGGGTGACATCAGTAACATTACCAAGGCTAAAGTGGCCGTCTACTCCTGTCCCGTGGACATCACACAGACTGAAACCAAAGGCACTGTCCTTATTAAAAGTGCAGATGAACTTTTGAACTTCAGTAAGGGAGAAGAATCTCTTCTTGAAAAACAGATTAAGGATATAGCTGACGCTGGCGTAAAGGTCGTAGTGGCTGGTGCTAAATTTGGAGATATGGCCCTGCACTTCTTGAACAAGTTTGGTGTTATGGCAGTTCGTCTAAATTCCAAGTTTGATTTGAGACGTCTCGCTAGAACTGTTAATGCCACTGTAAGTACAAATAATGAATTCATGTATAATATATGTATATACTAATAGACAGGTCCACAAACATTTATTTATGAACTAAGTAATATTGAATTTATTAAATAATTATCCAAATACATTATTATATGTACAATGTAAGCTGTTTAAACATTTAAAACCAGTGTTTCGCAATGTTGGGCCCACAAGGGGGCAATTTGATAGTTAAGGGGGGTTATTCGAAAATTTATAATTTTTCATTATATGTTTTAAAATCTACTTACTGAGTTTCGTTAACAATGTCCAAGTAATTTCTTCCTAAAACCTATCATTTAAGTTTCTTAAATAAGTAATTCAATTTTAGGTATTAAAAATTATGTATGCATAAGAATTTTAGAAATGATAAGGGGGGGCATGGCACAAAAAAGATAGGGAAATACTATAATATGAAGAATATTGATAGCGTCATAGGTATAGATATATAAAGCAAAACTTTTTTTACTCAACACTTCCACTTCCTTCAAAAGGTCCAATATTTTTTTCTTTTAATTTCTTAGTGTTATTTGCGCTTTTCAGTACATTAATTGTAGTCGATGGCGTAAAGGCTAATTTAATAAATCATTCCAGGTCCTACCCCGTCTCACAACCCCAACGGCAGAGGAACTCGGCTATTGTGACAAGGTCCATGTAGACGAACTGGGAGACACACGAGTTGTGGTTTTCAGTATGGATAGTTCCGAATCCCGGATGTCCACAGTTGTCATCCGAGGCTCTACTGACAATTACATGGATGACATTGAACGGGCTATTGATGATGGTGTCAACACATTCAAGGGAATTGCCAGAGATGGACGGTGAGTGTATTTATTAATTATTTATTATGGTAATATTTAAATTCAGCATTAAAAACTTCCCAATCATCAGATACCTTAAGGTATAAATAATAATTAAAAAAATAATTACTGTAGTTGCATAAATTTTTCATTATCTAAAGATTTTTAGTGTTTAGTTTACTTAGTACTAGTTTTACCCCAGTGTTCAAACCCCTACTGTTCCACTGGATATTTCTATTATCGCCTTTATATTTGATTATACGTTAGAGTAAGTGATAAACTTCGTGAAGGAAACCAGCACGAGGCAAAATCGTGAAATAGTTCACGTTTAATGGAAATGGAATTGTTTAAAAGCGATACTTACCGCAAACTGTCTCCTGTATGCCAAAATGCAAGCCAAAAATAATAGCAGGAAAGGGATCTCTTGGTCTCCTAGAACGATTTTTCTAAAAAGTTATTTGTATGGCAGAAACAATCAAATATTTTTCTCTAGAATATTCAGAGCATTGTCAGCAGATCAGAGCAGAGAATCTACAGAGCGATCAGTAGACGCAGTATGATAGCAAATTGCTGCTACTTTGGCTTAAGTAGATATTTGCGACTTCTCAGATAGAATACCAAGCTTGTTCTGTAAAAAATCAGCTGCGACCGGTGCTCACTTATGGTTCTGAAACCTGGGCCCTTAGCAAGAAAGACGAGCTTGCTCTCCTTATTTTCGAGCGGAAGATTTTCGAAGACGTTTGCGACGATGGTGTTTGACATATTCGTTACGTCATCCTTGACGACGCCAACATCGTCCAATTCATAAAATGTAACAGGCACAAGTGGTTGGGACATGTGGTATAGTGGGCATTTGCAAGAAGGCAGACGCAAGAATGGAATTCGTGCTTTGAAGTCAGAGACTGATCAAGAGTTCTGCCGCTCTAGGCTATTTATCAGGATGCGCCCCTGCAAGGTGAAGGTGTGTTACGGTCGGTCTCAAAAGTAGTATATTAGTTTTGATTTGATAGTGTGAAAATTTTAACAGGTTCATACTACTATCAAAGTTAAAGATCGATATGCAAGCGAAACGAACGCTGTCCTATAATTGAGACTTGTAACCATTTTTATCTGAGCGTTACACAAAGGCAAGCACCTCACGCACTATACGACAAAATCATGACAGGTACCAAGTAGAAAACCAAATTTTAGGCTTAGTTTCTATGGACAGTTGTTGCGGCTATTAATCAAGAATGGTCATCTAGTGTGTGATGTTGTTCGACTTAGTTATTTTTAAAATATTTTCACTTTGTTGTTATTTAAAAAGATGAGAGTAATCAAAAAGGTGAAACATTTTGTTTTTGTTTCAACTGTTAAAAAAATTAAGTAGGTACCTAATTATTAAGCTAACAAAAGGCCTTTTTCTTGCTTTAGCGTTAACAAATTTTTTCACATTTTAATCAAATTTAAAAGTTTGTAAAAAATCATTTTCTATCAGAAGAGTGCAAGTTTTTGCTGGCGGAGTGTGGAGCATAAGCAAGTAACTTTTTAATCTTTTGAATGCTGGAAAAGCCCTGCTGCAGTTGGTAACACTCATTGTCAAAAAAAAATCTTACAAAAATCTATGTCCACATTCGGGAACGTGCATTAAATATTAAAACTTTTTATTAACTGCAACAAACCCTTTGGGGTTCTGGCAGAAATATAACGTCAGATAAATCAACAGAACTTGCTTGTAGCTGTGTTCTAACGATTTGAAACTTTACGAGCACAGAGTTCCAAAAGCACAACATTATTGCAACTTGCTTTTGCTTCTATTTTGGTCTCTTTACTTTGATTTTTTTCGAGTTGTTGACAGATTTTTTAGTACCGTAGATTCTTCATTTAATTTGGATACTAAAATTTGCCATCTGTGTAGACCAGTAAGTTCATTTGTGTTTTGTCTCGTCTAGTTGAAATATGCCCCTGCGATATGAAGACACATTTCAGCGCGCCCGCCCCCCGATGTGCCTAGGTGGCTTTGCCTAAGGGTTAATCAGGCCCTGTTTGAAGTGCAACAACGTTCTGTAATATTAAAGCCATCTCAAGCATGTACAACGCTTTGGTTAGAATTATATGTAATTTAAAATAAGAAGAATAGAACGAGAAAAATTTTCTTGGTTTAAATCTTAGTAAAACTTAGTAGTGAAGGTGAAATATCCAGATTTTCTTGTTACTTGATACTATGTAATATGGATCTTGAAAAACAACGACTTTTACTTATTTATCAACTTCGTATACCTTACCTTCTCTTTGTCTGTCGAAACCCTTAGCGACAGCACGATTACCGACATACGCAAGAATGGGATTTGTGCTTCCAAGGGCAACAACGTTCAGTAATATTAAAGCCATCCCAAGCTTGTACAAAGCTTTGTCTTACTCGTCTGTTTGGGCTCTGCATGAAACTAAATACTGCATATGTTGGAGCGCATTTCTGTAAATATATAATGTGCACCGAATGGCGGACGACAGAACCTCAAGGTTCTTACTGAACTCGCAACCTGGTGCCAAGAGAAAACTCGGAAGACCGAGGCTGCGTAGTGGATGGAGTTGTCAAAGTTGGATGCAAGAAGCACTAAATAGATGGCGAAATATACTTGAGGAGGCTAAGGCCCATAAGGGGCTTTATAGCCATTGATGATGATGATACAGTTGATCGTAGGAATAAGAATTGTTTTATTTACATGCATACAATATTGAAAAACATTCTCCCCTTTTCATTCGTGTACTTATTCCACCTCCTTCCTCCTCATTCATTCGCTTAAACAGTACATGAAAACGTCATAATTTTAGAAGAAGTTTCATTGTGTGATCTTGATAGAGTTTATTTAAATCCTGAGTATTTTCACAATTTCTGATCATTGCGCAGACTCCACATGTCCAAAATGAGCGGAAGGCAATGGCTATGGTTATAAATTATCTTTACATCAAGTTTTAAGAATTCTAATTAATTGTGTAATCTTTGGGTTTTTACACTTACGTATTCTGATATGTTGTCATAAGCTTAGTGATACAATCATTAATAATATTGAATTAATTGTGATTGCATTTTTAGTTACTAATAAAAATATTGACATTGTATTAATAATATAATCACTTAATTACTAATTAAATTAAAAGAACAAAACAAACATTTATTTATTTAACTGCATTTTGAAGAGATATCTAAAAAAATAACGGTTGTTTTGACCGTTGTGCTAGAATTTTGTCTAATTAGTTTTTCCTTCGAAATTGTGGATTTGGTTGATAAATGAGTAAAATGAGAAAGTACTAACTACTCATATAAATAAAATCGTTTTAACTATAAAAATTCATTTTTTTTCGTTGATTTCTGTCGTCGCTTTGAAGCGTCTACACACGGCCCTAAAATCAGAGGCAATATCGGGGAAGTGGTGGAGAGCATCCTAGATGATAGATCGCCTCGTGTGTAGGCAAATCGTACCCTAATTTGAGTATGCACTTGCCCACCACCATTGTCCCGATATCGCCACTGATTTTAGGGCCCTTATTAATGTTTGTAATTGAAATATTAAAAAAATGTGTTTTTTTTAATATTAAAAATACGTAGTCGGTCCCAAAGTTCTGTCATAAATGGAAATAATGATAAAAACAAAAGTACTGATCAGTTTGTAATGAGTGATATATCAATACTTAGTACATTAATTAAGGAATAAAAAAAGCATAAAAATATTCGAAATAACCTCCCTCATTTTTAATACAGGCCCTTAAGCGTCGCGGCCAGTCGTCTATCGCAGCACGACCATATTCTTGTCGATTTCAGTCACTGGTTTTTTAAAGATGACTTCAGATCTCCAAATTTTCATGAGGTTTATCACAGACCTTCCTCTCTAAGCCCTGTCATAATTTCTGGTCCAGGATTAAGGTCCGGACTGGAGGAAGGCCAATCCTCATGTCTATTAAGACGATGTTTTGAGTCAAACCAGGTTTAGTGGTTTGGTTGTATGCAGACGAGAGTCCTGCTGGAACACGAAGTGAGTCCCGCAAATAGGGTGCTGACATGTCTTTGACAAGGCGATACAAAACCGTCTCTTGGTACATGTAGCACTGGTTTTGACCCCTTTTTCGAAAAAATTACCTCATTAGCCCGTAATAGGACACTCCCAACCAAACCATACTGAGGAGTGTCCATGTTGCACCCTTGGAACTTTATTTTCAGCTTCTTCAGAACTCCTAGCGTACACTGTATAATTCTGTTGATTGTACTTCTCTTCAATAGGAACAATTTTTCGTCCGTAAAGAGGATATACGGTGTCGGTTTTTCGCGTACCGCTTAAACAACACCCGCGATCTCTTAAGCCTTATTGCTTTTAGACGAGCATTAAGTAAGTGCCCACTCTTTTTTGTTGCTCGTAGACCAAGATCTTCATTTAAAACCTTTTTTACTGTTTTCCTACTGACACCCATCTGCAAATCCATCAACTTCTTTTTCGGAAGGATTTTTACTATCCGGCTTGTAGCTTTGATTACTGTGGTGTTCTTGCGGAGCGTGGCCAGCCAGTTCTTTTCTTGTCCTCACACTGGAGACTTCAAGGTACCTATTAACTTGACGATTCAAAAGTGTACTTGGTTACCTACTTGAATAAAGATATTTTGAGTTTGAATAGTACCGTACACAAACCTAGCGTTATATTCAAATTTTTGAGAACTTGAAAATGGTCTGGGTGTCCAAGCGGTGCAACGCAATAACAAATTCGTTTACTTTCAATGTCCACTCCATCGTGAAAAATTACGGAAAGTTATTGTTTTTTGTTTTAAAACAATAATCAAACATTCCAAAATAGAATGCAATAATTTTTTTATAAAATCCTGCTCGAAATGTAGAAATAATGTGCTAGTGACAGAACTTTGGGACCAACTACGTATAATTCAAAGATTCATGTGCGAAAGTTCCCCATTTACACCTTGCTAATTTTTGTATATAATATTTATGTATATAAATTATATATATTAAAAATAAGTTATATTTTAATTTTTATTCGAAGATTCGTGGCCGGTGCGGGGGCAACTGAAATCGAGCTTGCCCAGAAATTATTACAATACGCAGACACATTGCCAGGCTTAGAGCAATATGCGGTACGGAAATTCGCCGTTGCATTGGAAGCAGTACCCAGGGCGTTGGCTGACAATTCAGGCGCAAACGCAACGGACGTTGTCAATAATATCTATAAAGCTCATCGGGTAAGAGTTCTTGTCTTTTGATTATTATAGACTTAATTTACGTGAAATAAAGCCTATTTATATAGGTATGTTTAGGTTTTGGGAGCTGAATGGTCTCGTAACATATCTTTTATAAGTTGGTGTAGCACGTTTTTTTTATTATCAATCTGACAATTTAACTTTTTAATGGGTTTATGTGGTGTAGAAACATCATTGTTTTAAATGTCACTGTTTTTGTCTCGTAAATAAATATTACATATTTCTATACTATGCAATGGTAACATGATTCACCTTTCAGGAAAACCAAAAAACTGTTGGATTCGACATTGACTCTGAAAGTAGTGGGGTGTGTGACGTTAAAGAGAAGGGGGTTTTGGACTTGTACCTTCTGAAATACTGGGGTCTCAAATACGCGGTCGGAGCGGCAACCACAATACTCAAAGTTGACCAGATCATCATGGCTAAGAGAGCTGGTGGTCCCAAACCCAAAGCCCCAGCTGGAAGTGATGACGAATCCTAATAAAATCTAAGACACTGCAGATAACTTCGAATACAAATAATTTTTTACATAGAAGTTTTAGGCATTGGACTCGCGAGTTTTAACAAAATTGTCTTTATTAAGTTCGCAAAACTATAAACAATCTAATACTAGATTTGTGTTTTCGTATTATCGCTGAATAAGTCATTGACTTGAAATGGCGGCAAACAAACTATACCATAAACACACGTTTGATTTTTATGAATAAAGAGGTTATTTAAAAGTAATCTGTTCACAGCCTATAAAACTGTATTTCCAGGCACTTTACTAACGTAATTTACATAGATATAACGGCTTGGAATGGTTGTATGGTGCAACTGTGATTAAACAATCGTACTTTAATTTTGCATACAGAGTATGTGTCAAAGCGTATTCTGTGGTCTTATATGGCCATCTTTCGCGGTATTCAGGCCCATAAGTTCTTGAAACGCTAATTATATTTCAGCGCGCATTTATTTGTCACACTTAATTATATTAACAATTTATGATTCAGCCGGAAGTATTTTTGGTTTATCTTCTATTTAGCTTTTAAACTAATTTAAAGGTAATAAATAATTATAAAAAGTGAATCTTTTATTTTATAACCTACCCTGTAGTGTTAAGTAATCTTACAAAATAAGATACAATTCGTTGGCTGAGTGGTTCTCATGTTGAAGTTTAGCGATAGCATCAGTATTAACAAAAATTGTTTTTTTAGGAAAAGTTGAATAGAAAATACTACATCTTTAGTCCCAGTTTAATTAATAACCTTTAATAAATTACCAACAAGCTTTTTTATGATACAATAATTACGTTAAAATATAAAACTACAGTGTAAACTAGATAACGACAGTCGAGGGTTAAGGGTAGGTGTAATACTATGTAGAGAGTTCTTTAATTGTTTCATAGTATTATAAATTCATGATTGTTAATTTTATCCCTCCCATCTCCTAAACGTATTTATGGATTATCTATAGGTGTGTTGTTGATTTATTTTTGTAATCATAATTTACCTTCTGTTAAAATACTGTAAATCTTCCTAAAATGCAATAAATAAATAAGAGTGTAACGTTGTATGGAAGACAAGCTAATACAACCAAAACCAAGTGATTTCTGACTTTGACTGTGACTTTGTTGTTAAATCGACGGACGTTACATGGAGTTTACACTGTATTTGTAACTTGAAATATAAATGTCAATAAACCATTTAAAAGACATTTCTGTTTTTCCCGGTTACGATAATATTTTGCTAAGAATTCAAATGGACTTTCTCGTTATATGTTTAATTAACTATTATCTGTTTTGCTCAGTAAAGCTGATGCAAAATGACTGTAGACTGACGATTATCACAATATAAGTTGATAAATGAAACCACATCATACGTATATAATGCATTTTCTACAGTATATATTAGTCTACGGCCATTTCTCCACCGCCGCCGTCACCAGGAACGAGATGACTGCGCCGATTTAGGATACATACATATAATATGGCCATGTGCCCACCGCACGCCCGTCACCCGAGCGCGCCGTCATCCCGGCCGCCGATGTTTCGAGTAGTTTGGCGTGACCGCTAGAACTCGGCACGGTTTTATATCGGGCCGATGTGCCGGCTATACAAAACACGTTTGTTCTTGTCAACACACTACCGTCGCCACTCACCCGGTTTTTGATTTGTCTATCACAAAATTAAAAAAAAATTGGCATCACGCACGATAAAGCTCTAGAACTGAGCCACTGACATATAGGCGCGAACTCGGCCCGCAATAATCTCGTTCTCGTGGACAAACGGCCTACCTATTCTTAAAAATATGACAATTACGGTCAACACAAATTTAAAAAAAATAATAATAATAGATTACACTCTTACCACTATTAAATTTTTTTAATAGTATCTATCAGTAATGTGTAGGGAATTTTAATGAGTATTAATATGATAATAAGTAGGATACGATAGAAATAAGATAAAAGACTAATTGATTATAAAGATAACTTGTGTACAGAACATGTTTCTGAATGTACCCGTTTGTAGCTAGGAAATTTTAAATTTCTCGTGACTTTGAGGCGTGGATGTGCGGTCGGTTTTACCCGGGCCTATGAGATATAAAAAAAATCAATGGCACTACAACCTTTTTAGGTTAGGCCTAGATTTCTGTACCTGTTTCTTGATCATTTCAAGTCAAGTCAATCTAAGAGGCAAGTAGGTGATCAGCTGCCTGTGCCTGACACACGCCGTCGACTTTCATGGGTCTAAACCGGTTCCCTTACGATGTTTTACTTCACCGTTCGAGCGAATGTTAAATGAGCACATAGAAAGAAAGTCCATAGGTGCACAGCCGGGTTCGAACCTACGACGTCAGGGATGAGAGTCGCACGCTTAAGCTTAAGAAAATAATATCTCATAAAGTAGCAGTACTGGCCTAGTGCAATACTGCTAAAGAGAGTTATTAGACTACCACGCAGACGTTGGTATTCCCAAAGCCACGTGGCTGCGCAATGCTGAGATGGCCACTGACTTCGAAGGCGCTAGCAACAGTATGACAAACAAAGATATCTAATATATAAAATTCTCGTGTCACATAATATATGTTCGTTGCCATACTCCTCCGAAACGGCTCGACCGATTCTTATGAATTTTTTAACGCATATTTAGTAAGTCTGAGAATCGGCTACTATCTATCTTTCAAACCCCTAAGTGATAAGTTGTGTCCACCCCAAAAATGCCTTTTATTTTTTAGAAAAAAAAATCTTTTTTATGATACAGCATAGAAAAATACAAACAACCCCTAATTTTCACCCCCTATCATCAACCCTTGTTTTTTATTTGTAAATAAATATGGTACTATGTAGCTACTAAAGGTGGGTAAGTAAAAAACATATTAAGGCGAAACGAAGTTTGCGGGGTCAGCTAGTATGTCTAAGTATATAATTGATATTATACGCAATTAGATCTTAGATAAATAGAATAAAGCAACGTTGAACTAGTTTCAGGATTGACTTCAATTTGTGGCTCCACCCTTATATGAACACCAAGCTAGTGACTGATGCTCTTTGTAGGAGAACATCCGGTTTCCAAGGCCGCTCCATTACAGTATTCCTTAGAACCGTTCGTCTTTTTTCTAGCGGTACCAGGATGCATTCCAACTATGACATGAACAATTTGAACATTGGAATTATTATTACTATACCTGCTATCAATTTCATCAGTTAGTATGTTTAGATCTGTGTATGAAATTTCACAAATTATTATTACAATTACGCTAAACGTTGCAATAAGATGGCCACGACTTAATGTACATAATTATTATTTTCAAGTAGAAGTCAGTAAGTCTATAAAAATTAAAACTTGGAAGAGATTTGTAACTCGTAATTTATCCACTTATCGGCAACATCCGTTCTCTTGTATTTGCCCTTCTGCTCATTTGGAGTTCATGACATTTGCCGCAACACCCGTTGGCTAAGGGAGATAAATCAGAGAGAAAATAAATCACTTACAGTTTATCATGTGTGCACTAGGTGATGGTAATATGTACACTAACCATATTTGACAAATTATTTATATTCTTCAAAAAAACTAGCCATAACTTATCTACCTATATATCTTTTAATATTGTCATCGTTTAGCACGAGTACCTGTACACATTTAAACGAACTTTTGATTGATACAAATGTAAATTAACTGCTAACGTGTTTAATGTGTAAATATAATTATTTAAGTTTCGTTTCCTCCATCGTTTCAATTCAATTCATATATCTTGGATGAATCGTTTCTATAAAAATGCACTCACTTCGAAGGAGATTAATTAAGTAATATTCAAATGGAGGAGTGTACCTTTGAAGTACAATATATTTACAGGTAATATATTTACAATGCATCTTTAACCGTAACACTTTTAGGAGAGTACCAATTTCAGTCAATTGAAAATCAGTATCGGTTTTATAATTACGGTAAAAAATTAATCCAACCCATGTCGTGAAACAACCTAGTCTTACCCAAGTAAGTTCTCATTAATTTGAATTTAATTAAGATAAGATTTAAATCATTTTAATGTTGTAAGAATTACAAATCTTCCGCAAAGCTTCCGCCTCAATAATCGAATCGCTTTGACAAAAATATTTTGATACCGGCGCGGCCTTCTATTACTAATCACTAGTATTGGTCATATAACCAAGCGTGAGCATAATGATAATATTTTTATTTAAAAATTACATGGTTGCGACAAACGTGCGCCCCCAAACTATGGATATGAATTTAATATATTTTGAAAAAGGGTGTCTGAAACTCTTTACTTACGTAGTTGACAACGTCATGAACTATGGGAATGATTTTTTTTTTTTAAAAAATATTTAAAAAAAAAAAAAAAAAAAAAAAAAAAAAAAAAAAAAAAAAAAAAAAAATTTTTTTTTTTTAAAACAAAAAATAATTTTTTTTTTTTTTTTTTTTCCCTTTTTTCCCCCCCCCCCCCCCCCCCCCCCCCCCCCCCCAAAAAAAAAAAACCACCACAAAAACCCCCCCCCCCCCCAAAAACCCCCCCCCCCCCCTTTTTTTTTTTTTTTTAAACCCCCCCCCACAAAAAAAAAAAAAAAAAAAAAAAAAAAAAAAAAAAAAAAAAAAAAAAAAAAAAAAAAAAAAAAAAAAAAAAAAAAAAAAAAAAAATTTTTTTTTTTTTTTTTTGGGGGGCCTTTTTTAGGCGCATGGGGGGAAATTTTTTTACGGATGAATCGCAATAATAATAATATTAACGTCACGAAGATGTGCAGCGTTTTTGACGAATAAAAGGGAGAGAGATTGAGACCGATTGAGAGAGTGAGAAAGGGCGAACGTAGTATCACGTACAGTGCCACGGAGCGAGAGGTGGGAGAGAGCTATAGTGAGAAAGATTGAGAGAGACAGATCGAGAATTGGTTGATGTATTCGTTTAGTAGTTACATATTAGAACTTTAGATGGCAATTCTGTCACATAACGTCTTGTGCAGTAAACGCAGATTTTTCATTTATTTATATTATCATTAGCACGTATACAGTGTGAATATAGATATACAAATACATGGAGTGACCATATACTGGTACATGATCATCTATTGGGGCTTTTACCTTAGTAATAATTAATTTATAAAGAAGTTTCACTTCTGACATGTGCTTTGTACGCACGCAGCTTTTTTTCTCTACCCTCTCTTTCTCAAAAAAGAAAGACAAAAGCATAGTTAACAGCTATAGTCCATGGTTGTCGCGTCCCTCGTTGCTATTGAAAGTTACGAGAAAGTTTAGAAATAGAACTTTAAGCTGACATATTCTAATTTCTATCACAGATCGGTGTGTCATTGTCTGTTGCCATATTGTGGGTGCCAAGCTTACGATAAGATAGATTACGGGCAGGTTTTGCCCACGTCATTCCTCGCTTAGATTCCAGCTCGCGTTTATAACATCAATTAAAAACCAGTTTTTTAATAATTTGACGTTTTCTTTATCTAATCATTTGCGATTATAAAAGACGTACATTGTACGATATGTAATTAGAAAAGAATTATTAAAACATATAATACCTAGTCCAGCCATAAGTTCTGTTACAAATCAAAATGCATTTTTTTTAATGAAGGAAGAAGGAATGAATATACCTACTATTTATTAAAGTCGCTGTGTCGTTTAGAGCAGGCCATGTTCTCTAAAACTTATCATAATATGAAGTCTAAAGGGTTGATGTCTGGGCTAGATGAGGGCCAGTCAGCTCTTATAAAGTCCGGAAAGTTGGTTTCAAGCCAGTCTCGGGTAGTTTGTGCCTTGTGACCAGGCACAGAATCCTGCTGGAAAGTCCACGATATATTTTTAAAAAGTGTATTGCTGAGAGGTTTCACAGCATGATCCAAGAATGTATCTTGATACACTTTGGCTGAATTTTTCACTCCTTTTTCACATAATTTTAGTTTTGTAACTCCTTGATAAAACTCGCCAAACCATCACTGATGCAGGATGATGACCACGTTGTATCTTAATGACCACTTGAGCAGCTTCTTTAGAACTGTGAGCGTACACTTTATCATTTTGCTTATTGTAGTGTTACTTAATCGTAAAAACTTTTTCCATCGGTAAAGAGGATATTTCTGTGCTTTTTACCTGCGTATCGCGACAGAAGGCGTTTTGATCAATCCACTCTCTTTAATTGTAAAGATTTACTTAGGGCATATCGACGATAAGTACCGAGCTTCAGGTCTTGTTTTATAATGCGCGACAGAGTCTTAGCGGGAATATTAATTTCTCGCGATAAGATTTTTTGATTCCTAATGGGGTTTCGACGAATTCTGGCTTTAACAGCATTAACAGCCTTTGTAGTTCTAACAGCACGCGGCCGATCCAATCTTTTCTGGTCTTCAACAGACGAAGTGTTCTTGTATCTGTTGATCGTACGATACACTTACGAACATACGGCTGAATTGTCTGGAATATGACCGACGACTCCATACCCACTTTGTGCAAGGCGATCTACAATAATTCTATTTCTTTTACACCCCATTCCATATTGTAATTTGATCATTATTACGAAAAAATATGTGGCCCAAAATCGAAAGAAGTATTAAAAATAATATACGTGTTCCAAATTCAAAATAATTCAAAATTTGAATAAAAAACAAAGTTTTTATAAAACAGTATTTATGGCCAGACTAGTTATTTATATATTAGGTCCTTACATATGAAATTGGCGTTTTGTATGGGAGGAACAAAAAGTCGAATATTTTTAAATATAATATATTTAATTAATCAAAGTATGAACCATTGTTTTCTATGCACTTTTGCCATCTCATAGGTAGTTCATTGATCCCTTTACTAAAAAAAACCAGTCGGACGGGAATCTATAAAATCTGTGAAGGCGATTTGGACTGCCCCATCAGAGTTAAATTTTTTCCCTTGCAAGAAGTTGTCCAAATTTCGAAAAAAATGGTAATCTGTTGGAGCTAGGTCCGGGGAGTACGGAGGATGTCTTAGACATTCCAATTGAATATCTTCTAATTTGGTAGCCGTCTGTTATGCAGTGTGTGATCTAGCGTTGTCGTGAAGTAGCAGTGGCGAGGAGCGATTGACCAGCCTAGGTTGTTTAGCCGCTAGCTTTTCCATAATGGTTTGCACTTGCTGACAATAGACATCAGCCGTAATAGTCTCAGGCCGTCCACGGGGCTTGTTCTGCAGGTCGAAATTTCCAGAACGAAAACGTTGGAACCAAAAACGAACTGTGTTTTCTTTTGCAACATGACCGCCATACACATCATTCACCCTTCGAGTCGTTTCCGCAGCACTAGTGCCACGGCGTAATTCGTACTCGTAAATAATGCGATACTTTAAGTTTTCCATTTTGTAAAATGAGTGACGCAAACAGAAAAAAACAGAAGAAAAAAACAAATGAATGACGGTCATCTAAGCACAAATACATGAGTAAATAGCTGTACAAATTTGAATTTGGATTTCCTTACCAAAGAGGAGAACATCGTGATTAAAGTGGCCAGTACGAAATACGCCAATTTCATATGTAAGGACCTAATATTAACTTTTATCAGAATACATATACAGCAGTCATAAAAGGTTATATTAAAGACCACTGTGGATTAATATAAATATGTAGTATCTATATTTGCCCCATTTTCACAAATGGGTATACCCACGGGGCAACATATCAGCTTTGTTTCCGTCACAATTGATGTTAGAAAGCTATCAGGCGTCTGCACGCAATTAAATTGCAACTTCAATGCCTTTATTATAATTTATGATTAGATTAGATATATAAGATTTATAGATATATAATTTATGACTAGATATATAAGATATATACCTATAAGGAAGATAGCAATATTTTGTCCTAGTCATATTAGTTGTGCAATTATTCAACAGATTACTTTAACTAGTTGATATGGACCAAAATCTCAATATTGATTCTTTTGTGATTTGAACTTAGCTCTTTGTCACCATTTAATACCAATAATCAACTATATAGTATATATAGAGTCTTTAGATATCTAAAGTCTCTCAAACTCAAACTCAAAATATCTTTATTCATGTAGGTAAACAAGTACACTTATGAATTGTCAGAATGAAGTTAAATTAGTTCGCAAGTCAAGGGCGTAGAGCGGGTAAGAAGAACTGGCAAGAAACTTTCCGCCACTCTTTTTAATCGCCAAGTATTGTAATCTAATAATCAGTCTCTAATAATCAGGTAGGATTATATTAATTAGTAGTCCTAGTCCGATTAATAAAATGATAAACCGATGATTTCGATAACGTGTGTATAAAAAGGTCATGTTTTTCTTGTCAGTTAGTATTCGAAATGAAGTTATTCGTAATTTTGAGTTTGGTAGGATGTGCGTTAAGTTTTCCTCGGGGTTTCGAGCCCATAGAGGTAGACTACCATGGCCAGCAGGGTATCCCCATGGCCAATTACCTACGCAACGCTGAAGCGGCTTCTGACTTCGACGGTGCAAGAATCGTGGGTGGAACACCAGCTCGGCTCGGCGCGCACCCTCATATCGTGAGTTCATGATTTTCGAATTTACCAATATCTTGTTCGTGTTATTATTTTATTATTGGCGAATCCTTAAAGTTATCAATTTACTAGAATTGTGACAATTTTACTACACTTTATAAAAACATTGTTTTTGTTGGTACAATGCTTATTTTGTCTATTTCAGGCTGGTCTTCTTGTAGATCTAATACAGGGAGGAACTTCAATGTGTGGCGCTTCTCTACTATCAAACACTAAGCTAATAACTGCTGCCCATTGTTGGAGAACAACTAATTTCCAAGGCCGCTCCATGATAGTAGTTCTGGGAACCCTTCGCATCTTCTCCGGCGGTACCAGGATCACCACTACCAACATTCAACTGCACAGCAATTACAACCAGAGAACTTTGAACAATGACATCGGCATAATTACAATTAACCGTGTTAATTTTAACAGTCAGTATAATTTTTTTAATTATTTTTTAAATTCTAAAAACAACGCATCTCTTGCTTTTAGCACGTATTAGGAAGGGTTCTTAGAATTTTCATATAAATATAATTTTACGGATTAACCTAGAGACATTTGGACAGTTGTGAAATAAAAATAAAATATGTTTATTATGGAATATAAGATACAGGTATCAGTTATTCCACATCATTAAATATGTATAAGTAGACATCCCTACTTATCGGCAAAGAAGACAGTGGGTGTAGGCCGAGAGAAAAAGCCGGCGTAAAAAACTCTCGGTACTCTTTTAAAATATCAAACAAAAATTATATCCTGATACAAATACAATTAATGTAATAATAATACTGGAGCAGCGGTATATGATGATTCTATTTACAGACAATATACGCGCTATTGCTCTTCCTTCCGGCCTTTTGGAGCACATGACATACGTCGGCAACCGTGCTACAGCCGTGGGCTACGGCAGACTGCGAGACGGTAAGAAAAAACTTTGTTTTCAGGCATAACGTAGCGTTCTAAGAGTGAAAAAAAAAAAAAATGATTACGAATATATTCTTAAGTTGTCCCTACTAAAAAATTTTTTGTGATAAAGGTTGAGAAGACATTTTTTTTATATTTTCCCATTTCGAAGACGTTTTTTAATACATAAGTTCCTTCGTTAGCGTCCTCGCTATAATATATTGACAATCGTTATTCAGGTGGCTCCAACAACAACGACGCGTTACACCAAGTGTCATTAACCGTAATTGAAAACTTTGTGTGCACTGACATTTATGGGCCAAATATTATCATCCCCTCTACCCTCTGCACTGACACACAAGGCCGCATTGGAACCTGCCAAGGCGATTCAGGAGGTCCTCTTGACTTCTCTTTCCAAAACGTGCGATACCTGGTGAGTACCGTTTTTAATTTTTCATATTTATCGCAGTTCCGATTGGTAAGGCGTCAAACTGTTAGACAAAATTACCAACTGTTCTACATACATAATTGATATGTTCACCCGCGTCAATTCTGTCGTAGCGTTACATTGCCTTCCTACAAAAAACATTTTTTTGTGAAACGTGTGTGTGTTCGTTTTTTGTTTACCCTTTAGAAGTTATACTTCTTTGGCGTAACAAGATAAAAATCTTTTCAAAAATTTTATTCTACGTTAGTAGAAAAAAACTACACTAAAATTTTGACTATAGCTAACTCCAGGGTGTCGGTTTTTTGTGACGGTGTGCGCGCGAGAAAATTTACTCATAATTTTTCCCTAACGCGCCAAAAGAAGTACAACTTCAAAAATTTACAATTCATTCCTTAGATAAGCGTGTTAAGCTTAATCAAACGCACACAAAAAAGCTATGTAAATTAATAAGTACTATTGTCGAAGGTTATATATTATTATTCCCTTGCAGATTGGTGTAACATCATTCACATCACAACGCGGTTGTCAAGCTGGTTTGCCAGCTGGTTTTGCTCGTGTCACTTCATTCCTACAATGGATCAGAGCTCGTATATAAACTAACACACAAAATGTAATAACCTAGTCGTTTTTTATAAGTAAATCTGATTTATATGAAATTGTGTACATGGAACTACTTCGAACGTATACCCTATCTTTATAATAAAATGATTAATGGATTTATCGCTTTTTATTATTTACGTAAGTAAGATTAAACCTGTATCGATCTCTGTATCTCGATGACTATAAGGAAATTATATAAGTATTCTTTGACAGTGTGTACATACATACAAAGTATTATTTAATTTACTATCTATTTAGGTACTTTTAAACTTCTAGCAGAACTACTAGACCATGAATGTAATAATTAATCATTTAAAAATAAAATTTAAAAATTAATTATTTAAAATAATTATTATTTTTTTAATTTGTCTTGTAACGTCTGAGTTATAGGAGGGAACTTGGTGCATTTACTTTTTTAAATCGATGAATAAAAAATAATCCCCCTCAGTTTCGGGTTTTTTTTGGTCGCGTTGAGCCTCCTGCCCGTTTCCCCTTGTTCTATAAATAATAATAAAAAAGACACAAATTACACAAGCCGCCTGGTGATAATAAGGTATGCTGCTTCGTAAAATTATCTTTTAAAATAAAATGGAATTACCAATGAAAAGATGTAAGAAGAAGAAAGAAACCAAAATTTCATTTTGATGAAGTTGAAATGGGGCACATTGAGCTAGAAGGGAGGCGATCTTTCATCGTATATAATTATTATTATGCAGCTATTGATTGTCTTTTAAGACTTTTAAATTTCCGGGTTTTTAAGTGCACTTAAGTGAAAAAAATTATAATACAGTAAACACATGTTTGGTTTCTTATGGATACTGCACTGAATGAACTGAAAAAGACGACAGTAAATTTATTAGAAGCAAAGCAAAGGAGTTAAAACAACTATATGCCACTGATTTAGGAGAAACCTTTGCAGAAGAATATTCTATTATTATATATGCGTCTATTTGCCGCAGTTTTTAAAATCTGACACCGAGGCCCAGCATTCTATTATCCAGAACCCAAAGGGTCTGTTGCAGTTAAGAAAAAGTTTTAATATTTCATGCATGTTCCTGAATATGGAGATATTGTTAAGAATTTTTTGACAATAAGTGTTACCAACTGCAGGTCTTTTTCAGCACTTAAAAGAGTAAAAAGTTATTTGCGCTCCACACTCCGCCAGCAAATCTTGCAGCGATCTCGCTTATGTACACAGAGTGATTTTATACAAACTATTAATTTTGAAAAAATTGTGTAAAAATTTGCAAACGCTAAAGCAAGAAAAAGGCCTTTGTATAAGCTTACAATAATTAGGTACTTAATTATTGTAATTTTCAAATAAATCATTAATCAGTTGAAAAAATATTCCACTTGTATGTTCCTTACATCTTTTAAAAAAAAAAACAGAAGTGTAAATATTTTAAAAAGAACTTAAATTCGAAGCAACATCACACACTAGATGACCACGTCCATGGTAAATAGCCGCAACAACTAAGTTTTCCATAGAAACTAAGCTAATAAAAGTAATGCTCCCAAATACGACATGGATTTGGTTTTCATGCCTATCATGATTTTGGTCGTATAATGCGTGAGGTGCTTTGCCTTTATGTACCTACGGTCAGCTAAAAATGGTTACAATTAAAGGACAGCGTTCATTCGCTTGCAGGTCGATCTGTAAACTTTTATACCTAAAACCTTTTATAGATAGTATTAACCATATTAAAATTTTCACACTAGTAAACAAAGTCAAAACTGATATAGGTACAACTTTTTAGATCGACCGTAACACACGTGCCGAGGGCGTATCCTGATAATAAGCCTAGAGTGGGCAGAACTCTTGATCAGTCTCGGTTTAATTCACAAAAAGCATTTGAACATGCAATTTTAAAAATTTATTTTGTTTGATTTAAAAAAAATACTAACTAAATTTAATTTTTTATATAGGCAACATCTACTCCATTGCGCTACCTTTTGGTCTATTGGAGCATATGTTATGGTCGGTAATCGTTCTGTCGCTGTGGGTTTCGGAAGACAAAGAGATGGTAAGGAATTCGAAGTTGATATATAAGTACAAGTCGTTGTTTTCCAAGATCACCGATAATATCAAATAACAAGAAAATCAGGTTTTTTTCTTCTTCACTACTAAGTTTTATTAAGAATTAAACCCAGAACATTCTTCTTATTCTATTCTTCTTATATTACGTTAAGATGCGTTAGGGCCTCAGGAACCTCGAGGCCCCCGCCCTTTACATTGACAAACATATAATATTTTCCAGGAGCCTCCGAGGATGCTCTAAACGAAATATCTCTGGATGTTATAAGTAATCAAGCATGCTCCAGCACCTACGGATCCAACGTTATCATCGATTCCACTTTATGTACAAGCAGTGCAGACGGTGTTGGCCCCTGTCTCGGAGACAGTGGTGGTCCCTTGATTATTTCTACGAAGTCATCAGATATTTGGTTAGTATATAAGTTTTAAGCTCGTGCGATAAAAATAAAAGAAATTTGTTAGTCTGAAGATCAACTTTGATCGGTCGGTGGTGCAATGAGATTCGAGGAAAACCAAAGGAAGTAAGTAAGAAACCGTAAGTGTATTGTGTAAGTTTATAAATTATTTGATTTGATTTCAGCGTTATAGTGAAGTATAATAGTCTAAGATCCGGCAGCAAAATCTTTACGTTCATCGCGTAGTTAATCAAATTCACATTTTTACATTTATTTATGATTAGGAGAATACATTGATAACAGGGTGCCAGTCAATGAGTGGCCGCAAGTAATTTTAATTTAATTAATGTTAATTAATTTGCCAAAAAAAATTTCGTTCACTTATTTTTTAAATAAAATACCATCCACATCATAGCAATGTTTGTAAAGAATTCGAAAATCGATGGGTGCCGTTGCACAGTCGGCCGCAACTACTTCGCAGCCAGGCGTAAACAGGTAATAGTTTGGTGTATTTATACGTTCATGACGTACACGCATGTTTTTTTTATATTAAATTAAAGCTATTTTTTTAAATATGATGATATATCGCTGCCTGTGAACAAATGGCCGCAAATTAGGGTTGCGAGCTGTTAAACACTCGAGGTATTCGAGATAAAGTGAAAGAGAGTTAGCGCGCAACGACACTTGTTAAAAGAGGATGGCCTGTGTCAGCTGCAGGATTACTCATAGTTAATAGTATTTTTAAACTAATATAGGCATCACTCAGCCGCACGTATTAAACTTTATCGACGAATTTTTCTGACAGCGGCTTGTGGAAATCGTGAGATTATATATATTTCGTCATTCTTGTATTATTTCCTTTAAAATAAAAAAAAATCAGCCACGCTCGAGAATGTCGAGATACCTTTCTTATACAACTTTCCCCTTTCTTTACGTTACTAGCAAATTGTCAGATTAGTGAAATATACACTTCTTAGCATATAACTAACTTAGCTTACCTTAATCTGATGCGCTCGAAAAAGTATTATCATTAACTTTTTTTTACTAATCTGATCCTTTATCCTTGACGGGCGGCCATATATATGGAGCTCATATTTGGTAGAGATACTTAACCGGGTAAGGTATCTCCCTGTATATTAATCTGCCACGCTGGAGTAAATCCCGAAATCCCCTCTTGGGCACCCCAGCTATAATAGCATATTATTCATATTGTCATATTGCTTACCCATTATAAAGGAAAGTTATATTTTTGATAAAATAATTACTTATCACTTTTACTTTTTGAGCAATAAAGACTTGAAGTCATCTTGCTTTTCCATACAGTATCGTAAATTTCAATGGGTATTTGGAAAATATTAAATTCAAAATAAATTTACATTGCTATTTCATTAAATAGAGAAAAATTAACATTTCAAGGATATAATAAAAAATATTTTATTTAATAACACACAAATATAGAATATTTACAATATTCTTAACCTACATAATAAGAGCTACTACAGCAGCTCCTAAGAGACATATAGAATCACCTAATAACACAGAGAGATCAACGAATTCCTGTAATCATTTAAACTGCACGGAAGTAAAATTGCCGGTCAATCGTCGACGGTTGAGCACTCGTTATCTTGTGCGAGGTACTGCACGGCCGGGGTCAACAACTCTCGAGGCTTCAGAGAAAATGAGTTATTACCATTTGTTTTATTTAAAATATGGGACAAACGTTGAACAGGTTCGTGAGCACCTTGAAAACATCTGTACGACCAAAGATATCTCTGTAGAAGCTCTTAACGCCCGCGGAAATTACGCATCATTTAAAATTGGAGTTCCTGCCAAGTGTGGCAACCTAGTCATGGCGGAAGAGAGCTGGGCGGATAAAATATGCGTCAAGCCTTGGAAAACTAATTTTCGTGGCAAACCAAAAGATAAATAGGACTCCCTTAATAAACACACTATATAATAAGAATGAAAAATCAAGTCTGGTTGCCTATTATCAGAACGTGAGAGGCCTTAAAACGAAATTACTAACATTCAGAACGAACCTAATAACGCTTATCGGTGTTCAATTGGTCGCTATAACAGAAACAAATCTGGATGGATCTGTATGTGACGCCGAAGTCATTGATGGCGACTGGTCTGTTATTCGCAGAGACCGTGGGCGTCGTGGAGGAGGTGTTATGCTTTTGTCAAAATCACCCTTACATTTGACGCGTTTACCTGAATAATACGAAAGCAGCGATGTTGAAGATATTTGGGCTAGGTTTAATTTTATGGGCCAGTACGTATACGTTTGTGTTGTCTATTTACCACCTTCAACTTCTGAAAAATTGTATATAAACTGGTTTGATCATGTAAGTAATATTGTAAAGGTAGTTAGTACTTAATAGCAATAAGATTTTAATATTAGGAGATTTCAATTTTTATAGCTGTAGTGAAAGTTGTATAATGAATTTTAACTGTTTCCTTGCTGAAATGGGCTAAACTCAGTTCAATAAAATATTGAATATGAACGGCAGGGTATTAGATGCAGTCCTTACCGGTGAAGAGTCGAGTAACAGCAGTGTGAATGTGGTAGCGGTAGATTCAGGTGATGAGTTATCCCGAATTGACGCTCATCATCCAACCTTAAAAGTAACTCTTAATTACAAATTTTACCAGCCTGCGCAAACCCGTGAACCATCGAATATTACTAACGTAAATGAATGGAACTTCGATAAAGGAAATTTTTTGTCATTATTTTATATTCTAGAGGACGTAGACTGGAGAGAGTTACTTGCTATTGATGATGTCGATGAAGCGGTGGAACATTTTAATAGCATTCTATATAGCTCTTTTGATCAATGTTTTCCTAGAAAATTTCGAAAGTTAGCTAAACAAAGGGTCTACCCTGTATATTTTAATAATGAAATCATTGCTAAATTAAGAACTAAAGCGCAGCTCCATTGGCAGTGGAAATTTCTTAATGATAATAACGCGTGTTTAGAATTTAAACGTCTTAGGTCAATCATTAAGAACGACATTCGCAAAGCTAACATTAACTATTTACATACTATCTCATTAAATTTGGTTAATAAACCTACGCAATTTTGGCAATATATTCGTTCTCTTAGAAACCCAAAAGCTAAAGAGTCTGAAATTTCTTATAATGATGTTGAATATTATGGTTGTGACGCGGCAGAGGCATTTGCTAGTCACTTTAAATCGGTATTTTTGGCAGATCACCCGAAACTTATTCCAGAAACTGCCAATCGTAACCCAAAAGCATACTCTAATCATTTTGATATCAAAAATTTCGAAACAGAAGTTATTATGCGTAGTGTAAATAAACTAAAATCTAATACACCTCCGGGTCCAGATATGATTCCGGCTTATATAATTAAAGGACTGGCAGAATATTTAATATTGCCTATATCGCATATTTTCAATATTATTTTATATTCAGGGGTCTACCCAACGTTATGGAAGACATCCCGCGTGACCCCAGTTCCTAAAGCTGATTGTAGAAGCAGAGCTGAAAACTACAGGCCTATCGCGATTCTGTGTACGCTGGCGAAGGTGTTTGAAATGTCCTTACACTCGCTAATGTTGCCTAAATGCATTCCCCACATCACTCCTTGCCAGCACGCTTTTCTTCCACGCAGATCAGTTAATTCTAATCTATTGACTTTGGCTGACATAGTATCGCGTGAAATTGATAGACGGTGTCAGGTGGATGTAGTATATTTGGATTTTCACAAAGCGTTTGATCGAGTAGACAACGACATTCTTCTCCAAAAGTTGGCCGCAATTGGGTGTGGACCTATTCTGCTTAAGTTTTTCTCTAGTTACCTATCAAATCGTAACCAATATGTTAAATATGGACAATATATCTCGCAGCCTTATCCAACAATTTCTGGTATTAGCCAGGGTTCAAACCTGGGACCGTTGCTATTTTTAATAATGATTAACGACCTTCCAAGCGTTATCAAATATTCCAAAATACTATTATTTGCTGACGACGTTAAGGTCTTTAAAATAGTTGAGACTGACAATGATCGTCTGTGTATGCAACTTGATTTGGATGAACTGCTGCATTGGAGTGAATTAAATAAACTCCAATTCAACTATGACAAATGTGAAGTGATGACCTTTAGTGCCTCTCCGAATAAAATACTCTGCGACTATAGCATAGGATCGAAAGTTATTAGGCGCGTAGACAGAGTCCGCGACTTGGGTGTCCTGTTTGTACCCGATCTTTCATTTGCGGAGCATATTCGGACGATTACGGATGCTGCTTTTAGGAGATTAGGGTTTGTCCTGCGAAATTCGGCTGGTCTGACGGACACTGCCACTAGGGTGCTATATTCATCATTAGTAAGGCCAATTCTCGAAACCAGCTGCGTCATATGGTCCCCTTATGAAAGGTATTATGGGGATATGATTGAACGAGTTCAAAAGAAGTTCCTGAGAAATCTGTATAAAAGAAGATACAATTTATTTCCTTACCTCTACCCTACTAAGTTCTTGATGGGGGTGTTAGGGTATAATTCATTAGAGCTTCGTAGGGATTTTTCGGTGGTCAGGTTTGGTTTGAGTGTAATTAAGAATGAAACGGAAAGCGCATACTTGCTGGGAGAGATCATGAGGCTATACGTCCCGGACAAATATTGCCGCTGCCGGAAACATAACCTTTTCGCTGTGCGTTCGGCTCGCACTGTCCAGCGACAACAAGCGCCCATTCCCCGGCTACTCTCACTGCTTAATGGGTTTCTCGACTCTTCACCGGAGAGCGACCTGTTTGGGAAGCTTATGGGGGTGGTATACTGGGCTTTCAGAGTGTACCTGGAGGGGATAAGAGGGTAATGCTACCCTGTATTGTAAATCTTAATTGTATTTTATTGTATTGTTTATTGTTTTTAGTCTAAGTTTGGCCATTGTGCTGTTATTAAATAAATAAATAAATAAATAAATAAATAAATAAAAATAGTTAAAAAAAGATAAATAAAACAAAATTGAAAAGTTTGGTCGCTGGCGCAGTGTGCATTTAATGCTGGCAGTTTTTCCTCGCTGTATTGCGATACTTGTTCGTTTGGCGAGGAACGCACTAGCTTTGGGGTCACCGGTACTATCTACTTTGTGCCAAGTTAAATCTTTAATTAAGGACTTTAACCCCACGGCCCAAGAGTCTACTCCAAAGGGAACAAAATCAAAGTTGGAGGAAAACCTCTCTTATATTATTATTTGCCTGCTCTGCGGCCGCACCAGCTTTTATGCTACTCCGAGGGGCTAACTTTTCCACTCAAGTAGAATAACATACCAAATCCCGTCCCATCCTCCAAGCCATCGCCATTGCCATCGTTCCTAGTGATGCCTGTTACATCCAAAATAGCTGAAATATTGACGGACGCAAGAGAGTAGCCTCTTATAGCGTGGCGCAATTCTGTAACTCACTTTTCGAACTCTCACAACGGTTTTCGCGCGGCGGTCGCGTTCAAATCAGTCGTGAAGCAGTCATGATTTTGCATTCTGATAAACAAGAACTACAAGCTCCCTCCGCTTGTCAAGACGTAATGTGAAATTGCTTAACAGAATACCATGAGATTCCAAAAATGACGTGAGTGACGAAGGGAGCGTTGTTAGTGCGAGGTGAACTCGCGGATTAACAGAATCGCACGGCTGCACTCATTACATGACACTGCATGAATTAATAATTACAATTTATGTTATATAATTTATAAAAAATAACATAAAGTCTAAAGTTACACAAAATATAAAGTCGTAAATTTTGATATTTCAATTTTTTAAAGTGTTTTGTATTTTATTAATTAAATTAAAAACTGGAGCAGTGTTGGCCTAGTGGTTTCAGCGTGCGACTCTCATACCTGAGGTTGTAGGTTCGATCCCCGGACATTGTGCACCAATGGACTTTCTATGTGCGCATTTAACATTTACTCGAACGGTGAAGGAAAACATCGTGAAGAAACCGACATGTCTTAGATCCAAAAAGTCGACGGCGTGTGTCAGGCACTAGAGACTGATCACCTACTTGCCTATAAGAGAAAAATTTAAAAATGATCATGAACAGATTAAGGGATCTGAGGCCCAGACCTAAAGAGGTTGTAGCGCCACTGATGTATGTATGTATGTAAATTAAAAACTAGTAAATTAATTTGAAAACTTATTACAACATCAATTTTTGGAACTTAACCTATACACTAGATGATCTGGTAAAACACCTATCATTTGTAAAATTATATAACATAAACTCACCTGGCCTATTATTTATTCATTTAAGTTACAAACGTTTTTTAAGTTATTTAAAGTATGGTTATAAAAATATTGTCTATAATGATTATAGTCTTTGAATAAAACAACCAGTGGTCTGTTCCTGTTGTACAGTGCTAGTCTGTGCAAGAAACTGAAAAAATTATCAACACGCAAAACTATCTAAATTTTTCCAAAAGCAAAGCTAGAATAATATATATATATATATTTTGTTTTAACACACCTTATTCTTAATTTCTTATATTTAGATATTGTGAAAAGTGGAAAATGTCGTCGTACAAGGTAAATATTTTTAAACTGTCTAATATAACGAAAGGAACCCAATTCGTCGTCAACGAATTAAATTTTTTTCAATTACTTAATTTTTAAGCCAATAGATTCCAAACGGGAAGAATTTCGCCGATATTTAGAAAGAGCTGGTGTAATGGATGCTTTGACAAAGGTTCTAGTAAGCCTTTATGAAGAACCAGATAAACCAGAGGATGCATTGGAATATGTGAGAAAGCATTTGGGCACAGATGGTGGAGATGATGAATTAGAGGCTGCCAGAGCTCGTATCGCAGAGTTAGAAGCAGAGAATGCACTTCTTAAAGGCGAAGCTGCTCCAACAGAAGGCTGAGAGAGCTAAGCAAAGATATATTATAATAAGTTTTTGATCTCAATAATTCTTGATCTCGAATTGTTAATATTGCAAATATTGTTTCAAGTTACCTTGAGTATGTTATGTTGATTGCGTGCAATGGGCACCTTTTTGTTTCAAAGGATTTAATTAATAAATAAGTTGAATAATATTGGGTTTTACTTATTATTAAAACTATAATAAATAATTTGAAGAAATCAGGATCTTGAGTAAATAACTTATCAGTACATAAGATAAGTTAGTTTGAAAGATACGTATTGAAATTATATTGACAGTTTTGTGCAGCTTACTTGCTTGTTTATATAAAAATATATATTAATAAAGAAACAAACAATATACATTTTATTTAGTTTACTTTCATGTATGATTTTTTAACAGGAATAAATTACTTCTACATTGTTTTCTTAGTTGTCTATAGTTTTAAGCAGCAGTACTGATGAGTTCGGAGTACTTCTTTACTTTGCTAGCAACACTCATGTCCACATATCTGTCACCAATGGACACAACCATACCTCCAATCAATGAGGGGTCAACAGATGCGGTTAGTTGCAGAGACTGATTTCCTTTGAGGAATTTCTAAAACAATAATTAGAACATATAGTTTGACCGCTTAGAGAAATTTTAGCATGTTATTTTAGGACTACATAACAATAGAACATGTTATTATGACACAACAAGAATTATTTAATTATTTAATTTTAATTATTTTTTATTTTAATTATTAATTGGAGACAGGTAAATAAGTCATCCTTCAATAAATTATTGATCACATATTTAAAATAATCAATCAACAGAATGGTATTCCAATATTAATGGTGAAAAATTATGAATTAAGTGAAATGGCTTACCTTAAGTGCAGCTTCCAAGTTCTGTTTCTGACCAGCATCCAATGGTTTGGCAGTTATTACTTCGCAGGTGACCTCACCACGATGTGCAGCCATAATTATCTTAAAAGCATTGATAATAGCATCAAGTTTTCCAAGACGGCCATTCTCAGCCAGTAAACTAAGTAGGTTACCAGTGTTTGATGACATGCTTGTCTGTAACGGAAATTTCATAATTATGTTTTAATGGTTTGGTAGGTATTGTCATTGATAAATAAGAAAAATGATAGCTGAACACTAAAATCTAAAAAATCCAGTTGAGATGCTGATGAGTTAAGGTTCCTAAAATTAGTTTTTTACTATAATACAGATTAACTAAAGAAGGTTTAGGTGTGCAATTCATTAAGCTATATTTTAATACACAGAATCATCGTTGAAGAAGTTGCAAGAGACTTTGGTAAAATACACACAATCAACACAGGCCGAAGCAAGTTTAAAAAAATATGATATTAAGTTATAAACTCAACATTTTCGAAGTTGGTAGAAAGCGATTATGGTCTTGTTTCTTAACTCCGTTGATATTTCAATAATTTCTTTATAATCACACTTCCTAAACTAAAAATAACCCAAAATCAAACTTCAATATCCAAAATATAAAAATTCTAAAGTGTTTACTATATTAGATAGAAATTTATAAATTAGAATACATATTGTTGTATAATTAGGCAATTACTGGTAATTATATTTACTAATTAATTTAAAAGATATTTGTTTTAAAAGTGGGTAATAATTCATGTAAAGTTCAAATAGTATATAACTGATCTTGACTTCAGTAAGTACTTTATAAATAACTACATGTAGAAATTTTTATACAATTCAGATTTCAATATTTACTGACTACCAGCTTGCCACAAAGAGGTTTTAAATTTACCTTAGAAGCCAAATGCTTGAGAGCTTCTGACTTAATACTTCTCTTTAGAACTGGGTTCAGAAGAAATTCCTTAAGTTTAGCATCCGTCTTAATCGATTTCTGGAAATATACTAGTTCTTTTTCGACGGTGTCCAAAGATTTGCTTTTGGAAGCGGCAGAATATAATGCTGTGGCGTATCGGCCATCAATACCGAATACTTGTACTGGGGCCTTCACGAGCTGAGCTGCGGCCGACGATGTGCTCAGCGAGCGCACCTGATAAGATTACGTAATGTATATTTTTAAGATTATATGAAAATTAAATATTAAAGGATCACATTATTTACCAGCATATTGGTCTTCATAAGAGACATGATAACTCTTTTCTTTTTGTGTGGAAATTTATTAAAATATATCTTCAAAATCCAATCACACTACCACAGCCAATGACACTAAAAATAAATTACACATCGACAATTGACGTATTACGACTAAGTTGGTTAGACGACAGTTGAAGTTTCCATACCCGCCGGCGCCACGAAATTTTGTGACATTATACTTTAAAGCCTCCGTAATCCGTTAAGCGTTTCCAATTAAAAAATATATCTGACAACGGATCAGGGCCACGCTATATATTTTACCAGGTTATGGTTAAAAATTTAAAATAATTTATAGGATTCCTGTGTATTTTTATACACTTTTAACAAGAAATTTCCACTTTTAATAAGTAAAACCAAAACCAAAATGGCTTCAAACGAAGGCCGTGTTCAATCTAACTTGCATCAGCAGGATCTATCTAAATTGGTATGTTGAGTGTAATAATATAATTAGGGCTGAAATTCGTATACAATGCATTATATGTTATATTTTTATTATAAACAATAACATTGACTTAAACCGTATTTAGATATTGCATCATGTTTTGGAATTGTAACGATATCAGTCATTGTAAGTGATGTTGTTTTACCCATTATTCTCCCAAATTTCAGGATGTCACAAAATTATCGGCATTGTCTCCTGAAGTTATATCAAGACAGGCTACAATCAACATTGGAACAATTGGGCATGTAGCTCATGGGAAGTCAACTGTTGTGAAAGCTATATCCGGAGTACAAACTGTCAGATTTAAGAATGAGCTTGAAAGAAACATTACTATTAAATTGGGTAAGTTTGTCAATCTTAGAAATCCGTGTTTGATTGTAAATTGCAATATTAATACTGATAAGCTCAGTTTGAGCAACAACAAATTTCATTTATGTACTTTTAAGTAGTCTTTTTAAGAAAATTCTAGTAAATACACTTATTTATCTTATTTTAAGAGTAGCTTGTTTTGCAAAATACCATGTGAATTGCTTAATTTTAAATTGAATTCTCTAAATTTAAATTTATTATTGTACCTTCCAAAATCTCATTAACCGATACACATGGTATGTTGCAGAGCGTGTATCTGACTCACTCATAAGAATGTTTTGTGAAAGAAGTGAAGAAATAGCTGAAGATATATTTCAAGGAAAAATAAGTAAAGGAAAACAGAATCATCCCACACTGTCTGAGCCCGAAGAACCCCCTGCAAAGAAAAGAAAAAAGAAAACTCAAGAGCTAGAAGAGTTTAACATTGAATATATACTTGATTTTAAGTTTGAAAATGGTGTAGAATATTTCTTTATAAAATGGAGAGGCTGGCCAGATAGCGATAATACTTGGGAGCCAATTGAGAACTTAGATAATTGTCATGATATTCTACGGTCATTTTTATTTCATCAAGAAGAAAAACATTGTAAGTCATTTGAAAAACTTATAGGTGAATTGTCGTTTGACAACTTACTCAGTGAAGAGAATCTTGTTAAAAGATTAGTTGATTTTGAAGAATTTCCCTTGTTAACTTTAAAAGATAAACTTTTAATAAAACTATTAAGCCTGACCACCCTCACTCTAAAAGAAGAATGCCATGTAGCAAACTTAGTGCAAGAAACACGAGATATCTTACAAATGTATGTTTTGGCTAGAAAAAGATGTAGACAACTTATGGGTTTAAAGCAATGGGAGGAGTTTTTGAATCAAGTGGATAAATGTAAGAGGTTAGTTGTTGAAAATGAATTTGATTTGTGTGGCCCTCCAGAGAATTTTACATACATCAATGAATGTATTCCAGGGGTGGGAGTTGTTATACCAACAGAACCACCCATCGGTTGTGATTGTTCTGCATGCAATTGTCGATCAAAAGTCTGCTGCGGAATGCAAGCTGGTCTATTTGCATATACAATTAAGAAAAGACTAAGAGTGGCATCTGGCACGCCAATCTTTGAGTGTAACAAAGCATGTAAATGTTCAGATAATTGTAACAATCGTGTAGTGCAGAAAGGTAGAAACATAAAGCTCACAATATTCAGGACCAATAATGGCTGTGGGTGGGGAGTTAAAACTAGTCAAAAAATCTATCAAGGTCAGTTTATCTGTCAATATGTCGGTGAGGTCATTACTTTTGAAGAAGCAGAAAAGCGTGGTAGGGAGTATGATGCCAATGGCCTGACATATCTTTTTGATTTGGACTTTAACTCTGCTGAGAATCCTTATACCATTGATGCATGCAATCTCGGTAATGTATCACATTTTATTAATCACTCTTGTGAGCCAAATCTTGGAGTTTGGGCAGTGTGGGCAGATTGTCTTGATCCAAATTTACCCATGTTAGCATTATTTGCGACGAGAAACATTGAAGCTGGGGAAGAAATTTGCTTTGACTACCTGCATAGGACTAATGAAGAAGAACCAACATCACCACATAAAGTACCACAAGAAGTAAGTGATCCAGACACAAACCTGCCGTCTCCTTCAGAAGGCAACACAGCCAGTTCTCCAGTATCTCCAGTAAAATTGAGATATGAAGTACATCAAAATAAGAGTTTGAGAAAACAAACAGAGTGTAAATGTGGAGCTGTTAAGTGTAGAAAGTATATATTTTAAGAGAGATATAGCACAAAAATTATGACTCAATGAATATTGTCAAACCTTGATTTTTATGTTGTTTTAGTATTAGAAAAAGTATTTGAGTATTTTTTGGTAACATTTTTGTTAAACATATAAGTTTATCTAAAATTATGTTAAATGCATATTGGGTTAAAATTATATTTATCTTAAATTGATAGTGATATCATAATTTTTTGTCTTCTAGTTTGAAAAAGTTTAGAGAACTAATGTTATATAAATTTATAATTTAGCAACTTTTTATGTTTATACCACATAAGATTGTTCTCCACTCGAAATAAGGCTAAAAATATTGTTAGATGTAAACGTTGAAATAAGTTTGTTTGTAAGATGATATCTGGTTATATGTATTTTTGTTATATTTACATTAGTTACACTTACAAATATGAATTAGTATGACTATACCATAAAACTGTAAACTTTCTTCACTGTAAGTTTGGGCATATGTAATGAAGATATCAGCTGCGCACTTTTGGAGTTCAGCAATAGACTCGATTCAGAATGTGTTTCTCATTGTAATACAATTCCGTACAAGTGCCTTTTTATGTAATGTATGATGCGAACTATAGCAGTATAGTTTTATGTATTTTTTAATAAATTTAGATTTATTTTACACGCTTTTGCGATTTTATTTCATGTTTTACTAATAATTCAGTTTTTTTTCTAATAATCCATTCCATAAATTGTCAAATTGGTAAAGACTAATGTTCTATATTCCCCAAACACAGATTACAAACTAAGCCTTTGCTGAAATTGACCCAGAGATTATATTATAGGTTACGCGAACGCGAAAATCTACAAATGTGACAACCCAAAATGTCCTCGGCCCACAAGTTTTATATCGGGCGGATCCTCTAAGGACGATAGCTTTCCCTGTTTGAGGCCATCATGTTCGGGCCGTTTCCAACTCATAAGGCACGTCAGTTTTGTGGACTGTCCCGGGCACGACATTCTCATGGCCACTATGCTTAACGGAGCCGCCGTTATGGACGCTGCCTTACTTTTAATCGCTGGTAAGTGGCAGGCTGATATTACATTCTTGTTGACGTTAGTATAAGCTCTCGTGGACGGGGAAACTAAACGAGTAATGAGTAAAAACTACTTGTGCTTAACGATTCGATAGCATAATATATAGGTATAGTAGAAATATATTTGAAGTACCATAGACAGGCCTGCAAATTCATTTAGTTTTTATACTTTACACCACCTTTTGTTCTTTTCGTTGTCTTATATGTACGTATCGATAGTGCAATCCACGAAGACCCGCCCCACTATTCCTCCTAACCGTTTATAGTATATGTGTGCAAGCTTCCGTCAATGTACACACGCACACTACAATGCACCGCTGACGGTTCGCAAATGACACTCCCCGCACTCCGCGATCCCCTCAACCAAAAATTGGTGGGGCGCGTCTTTGTGAATTGCACTCTATAAAGTAGAAATATATTTTTAGGTAACGAATCCTGCCCTCAACCACAAACAAGTGAACACTTGGCTGCCATTGAAATCATGAAGCTGAAACATATTCTCATCCTCCAAAATAAAATAGATCTGGTCAAAGAAGGCCAGGCCAAGGAACAACATGAGCAAATCGTCAAGTTCGTTCAAGGCACAGTGGCCGATGGTGCTCCCATTATACCCATATCTGCTCAACTTAAATATAATATTGAGGTATGAACTTATTGAATTCGCCCCGTTTTCTAGTTTAATAGTCCCCACCAAAACCTAAAGTTTGATATTAATTATCCAGGCGAAATTGTAACTTAAGATATGTTTAGTAATATGGGGCTTAATTTGGCAAAGGCCTTTTCAACAGTTCCTTAATATAGAAAATAAAAACATTTCTATCTTTCTGCTGTAATCCTAAATATTTTCAAATATTTCAGGTGCTATGCGAATATATAACAAAAAAAATCCCAGTGCCGATGCGTGATTTTACCTCTCCGCCCCGTATGATTGTGATTCGGTCCTTCGATGTTAACAAGCCGGGTTGTGAGGTCGATGACCTCAGGGGCGGAGTCGCCGGTGGCTCTATTCTTCAGGGAGTTTTGACTGTTGGTATGGAGATAGAGGTGAGGTTTTTGATTTTTGTTAATTATTTCCAAAAAAAAACATATTTTGTAAATTCAGTTGTCAATATTTCTGATTTCTGTTACAAAAATGATTTTATAATTTTAGGTTTATTTATTTAAATAATTATAAGTTTAATATATTTTTCCAGGTCCGCCCGGGTCTCGTAAGCAAAGACGCGGAAGGCAAGTTGACATGTCGTCCGATATTTTCTCGAATCGTCTCCTTGTTCGCGGAACAAAACGAACTTCAGTTTGCGGCGCCCGGAGGACTCATTGGGGTTGGAACTAGGATTGAACCCACGCTTTGCAGAGCTGATCGGCTGGTCGGACAGGTAGATATAAAGAGGGGTTTTAATTTTTTAAAGCATCCGAAATATGTTCGCCTTAATAATTTAAGTCAATGGGTAAAATTTCTAATTATGACTCATAGGTGATGATTTTTTTAAACAAGCAGGTGATCAGTATTTCGTGCCTTAAAATTGAAAAATAAAACTATAAAGTACCAATTTTGGAAGTGGGTCTAGTTAGTTAATTCCTTTTACACAGACCAAAAACTTTCATACAAAAGACAGAATAATAAATTACTTTCTACTTCCTGCATCCCCCCTCCTTGACAATCGGCTGAGCCCTTCGACGACTTCATTGTTGTATGGATTTGAAAATACATATGTGAATTAATCGCAAAATTTTATCAAAAATGTTTGATTGAAAACTAGCTTATTCTGCGGTTTCACATTTATTCGGTTGTATGATGTTAAAAGGTGTCAAAGGGAAATAATACAATCAAAATTGATTTCCAGGTATTAGGTGCGGTGGGAGCTCTGCCAGGTATCTTCGTGAAGCTGGAAGTCTCCTACTACCTTCTCAAGCGACTCCTCGGAGTACGGACCGAGGGAGACAAGAAAGCTGCCAAGGTTCAGAAGTTGACGAAGAACGAGGTAAATATTCTCTAAATTTTTTGCAATATTCTATTTGACAAGATTTTAAATTCAATTTTTTTATATATGGAGGCCATATATAAAAAAATTTCGAGCAATGAAACACTCATACTTGTAATGAGGTCATAAGTTCAATCCCCGGCTGTGCACCAATATTTTTTTTAGTTAATTTAACATTATTAATATTTCAGGCACTACTAGTTAACATTGGATCTCTAAGTACGGGTGGCCGTGTGATTGCAACTAAAGCTGATTTGGCCAAAATAGCCCTTACCAGCCCTGTTTGTACCGAGGTCGGGGAAAAGGTGGCTCTCAGTCGTAGAGTGGAAAACCATTGGAGGTAACATTTCATTAATTATAACAATACTCTATATAGGTACTACTTATGACAACAATAAATAATTATTTTGCTAAAATGCCATAACCTATTTTATTCTAATATTGGAAAACTATTTAGTCGAGGTAAAGACAATTCATTATTATAGATAAGTCGGAACATCCATGATAAAATTTAATTGGAAATATGTTTGAATAATGATCTGGAAAGTTTAAGTCACAGTACGAATAATTTCAAATGACTGCAGCGCCATCTAGTGGGAGACCTAAGAACCTAATTATATTTCTTTTCCAGATTGATTGGTTGGGGACAAATTCAAGGTGGTGAGACAATCGAGCCTTTAAAGAATTAACAACTCGCCACTTTTATATTGTATTTTAAATATTTAATAAAATATATTATATAGTACAAACATATCTTATTTTCATACCTCAAGTGTAAGAAAATTATATATTATTTGATTTTAAAATAATATTTGCTATATATGATACGTAAGGAGAGGAAAGTACACACTATTACTAAAAAGCTATGTACACTATTTTTATTTTTTGTTGAACCATAATGTTATACTTTCCTAATTTTCTTAAATTTGCAGTAGAAATTACAGAAGAAAATCATGACACTAAAATGTTAGTGTTTTAAGAGAAGGAAATAAAAAAACACATCCAAGTCTTGAGAACCTTACTTAACACAGAACCTCCAGGTTTAATACAGTGAAAAAAATCATAAAACAGATTAATAATTTATTCCATTTTATTACACAAGGTCTAGGCCATATATATGAATGTGTTGATATCATCATCATCCCGACGCATGTATTTATGCTCAATCAACCATTCCAGCTGTTCTTTAATCATTTTCTTTGAAGGTAAGAACATATTCTTTAGAATTTCCACTAATTCACTCTGAAAAAAATAGAACACGTTAAAGCAATTATTTTTAATTAAATTCTAAAGCGATATAGGATTAATGAGCTTATTTAAGTATTAATCACCGCGCGTTTTTCGATAGTCAAATCACTTGTGTTAAGGGAAAGCAAATATTGTGTTAAGAAAAATAATTCTACCTGCAAAGCTGTATTTGTAATGCGCTTTCGCATTTTTAATATTTTTATTATAGCTTCTTGAGTCCTTAATATCCTGAGCTGAACAATGGAGTGGTTATCTTCAATTTGAGACCTTTCTGTGCTCAACTGAAGTCGTCCAATAAGATTAATTTTGCCTCTTCTTTGAGGCTTGCCATTTTTAACCAGAGCAAATTCTTGGTTGATCCAGAACACTGTGTTCTCTTTAAAATCTTTAGGATTCTGCACAGAAGGATCGTAGGATAATAATTGTCTTTTTAACTTGGGAAATGCAGCCAAAGACCAAAGTGTTCTTCGTAATTCGGGATCAGGTAATTCAGTAGCTAGTCTTAAGTTTTCATAAGTTACTTTGTCTGTTGGCCTTTGATTCCATGCAAACAGCACTGCCATTTGGAATGTTGTAACATCCAGATCAAATCTTCCCACAGAATTTGCAAATGTTATTGTTCCATTACTCATATGATGGTACCATTGCAATTTTCTTCCAGAATGCTTCTTTTTGTAAAACTCTTCAACCTCAGGAATGTAGTCCTCTAACTCAAGAGGGAGACTCACTGTTACTCTCTCGGAGCCTCTGGCCCAAGCTCCAGCATTAAGTATTTTGATATTGATCGCATCATGACGAGTTGTTTCGCCACGGAACTGAGTATTGAGATCTTCACTCACTTTAATATCTTGGAACATTCGAGCTAGCTTATTGACATAATCAGCAGGCATCCCCACCTCACGTAGCCACTCAACCATATCTTCTTCTTTCTCAGAATCTGCACTAGAGTCTAATATCAACCTTCGAGTCAAATGAGCCTTATGATACCTCATAAAAACATCTTTATTCTCAATGTACTTCAACACTAAGAGAACGTCTTTCAGTCTTGACTCAATTTGTTCACTAGTTAAGCGTTTACTTAGAGGAGTTTTTCTTAATAACATATCACAGTAATTTGCAAGCAATTCAGGGCATTTACTTTCTGGAGCTGTGCCTTTAGTTCCACGTAAAAGAGCAGATGCTGGTAATTCTAATTTAAAGACTGTAGTATCATTTACAACACATTTGTATGACTTGTCTCTAGCTGTCAAAAATCTGGGATCATCAAGAAATGCATCTCTGACTAATGAACTAAACCGCTTAAAGAGATCCAGCAACCTTTCAACGTACTTTTCAGAATCGGTTGTTATAATATCTGCAGATGCAACCATATCTGCTAAGCCAGCAGATACAATGTGAGCTTCCAAATCTCTTAAAATAGGAGTGACACCTTCAGGTATCCTGTCTAGCAGTCGGAACATTAATTGCAGTTTTTCAGTTTCTCCAGCTTTAATTAGTGGAGCACTTTCTGCAAGTAGTGTGGGCATATGTTCACCTATAAGAACTCTTTCACAACACTGTGTTAATGCAGCAACACTCCCACTTCCTGGTTCTAAATATCTATGGGCTCTGGCTTCTTCTTCTTTGAGCCGTAAATCTGCATACTTCATATAAGCTTGAACACCATTTGTTAGGAGATATTCATTAGCCTTTAGCTTATAAAACTCTTCTGTTGCCTGCATATATGCAGCTTCAAAGTTTTCTCTATATATTTGAAGCTTATCAGTTGAATTTGAACATAGGTTCACTAAAAAAAATTATGCTTTTGTAATAAAAATGACAGTAATAAATAATATACTATACTTAATAATTGAGGATAAAATTTCTTACCGTATGATTCTCGAACTCCAATAACAAGTTGAGAATCAAATGATTCACCATTTCGTTCTGCCTGGACTAGTTTCATCGCTGAGTCTTGTAGTCTTTGCTTGATATCCATAAATATGCTTTGATTCCAAGAATCTAGCATCAGTTTTCTAACCAAACTATCCTCCACATTATTGTTATTATTCTTCTTTTGAGAATTAGAAGCATTTGAGCTGGTTACCTTACTGCTCACATTAGTTATGGCATTCTCTAATTGACGAAATGGTGTTGGTAAATAATTACACTGGGTGAAAAATTTGCCCCATTCAGCTATATATGCCTTAAGGAGTGCTTGATCTTCGCGTTGGGCAAGAACACGAGCTTGGGCTTGCTTAATATACATCATAATGTCTTGCTGCAGCGCGTCTCTCAATTTATATGAACCTCTCTCATCCCAAAGGCACACGGAATGTACTGCCCCAAACAAATCTTGCCATTCTATCTGTGTTACTGCTTCTTGTTTGAGCAGCTTCAGGACGATCGGACGCATAGCGGGCCATTTGTCTTCAAAAGTGACTTGACCCTTGTCCTGTAAGACATTGAACCGTAAAATGTACACAAATGTAAAATCTATAAATAAATTAATTCGCGGTAAAACTCACTTTTAACATGATTCAAATTCAGAATTCAATCAATTTATACTTATGGACTATGTGCTTTTATCATAACTTATCTAGAAAGTATTTTGTATTTACAATTATTATCGTTATGCTTTATAAAAATATAATCAAGATTTAAGAATGTCAATGAAGAGATCGAAACCGAAAGAAAACTTTGATTGTTCAATGACTTTCAACGATCGTTGACGTCCCAACTCCCAATACTTTCATTTTTCTTAGTGTCAAACGTAATTACAGACATTAGAGTTTCTACAGAGCACTTCACACTACACAGACTAACATGAATGAATCAACAGATTTTAATTATAATGATTACAATTTACATTTTACAAACAAAAATCAAAAAATCCAGTCAGCTGTCAGAGTGAGACCATCTTAATAGTTAATTCTAATTATTAAATTTATAATCTGAAAACAATTCAACTGCTTTTCAAAGAGGTGTAGTCTAAACTGAAAACAAACAATTGAAATCGTAGGAATTTAAATAAGCAAGTCAATCCAAAAAGCAACTTTAATATGAGTTTATTTGGAGAAATCGTAGAGCCAGGAACGAGAGTTGCATGGGAAGACTGGGACGACTTGTCCCAAGGAACTGAAAATAGCGAGTAATTATTCTACGTAACTTTTAATCTGTAAACAAATCTTTAAATATTTTTTGACTGAATATTTCTTGAATCAATTTCAGACTCAAATGGACAAATATATTGGAAGTGCCTGATATAGTTGATCTCTTATTAATACTTGATGGTAAACATATATCAGACACAGTAAGGCTGCAGGAACAAGATTCTATAGTATTAATAAATACTGTAAAGGAAGCTAGTTTAAGTCTTTACAAAATAAAATTAAGAAATGCTTACATTTGCATTTTAAAGGATTACAACTTACTCTTGAGTAGTGAGATAGTGGAGCTACTTCGCGATTTTATAGAAAAGAGCAAAGATATAATAGTATTCTTAAATAAGCCTCTGGCTGAATATCAAACCAGTAACCTAACTTACCAGCCTTATGTTATCAGGTGTTTAAAAACAACAAAAAGCTTAACAAATCTTCATGGGCTTAACTTTCCAAAATTAGAACAACCCAATATAATTTCTGGTGTTGCAGCAGGAGGTATGAATCAATTATTTTATTTTTTATTAATATAATATCACACATTTAAATTTACACTGCTAAATTAGGATGTGAGGATTAGTTATTAATACTTTACATAAGTGAAAATCCAAATTTTTTTGGATGAATATATATTATGTTGTTTTTACTTAAAGTAACTACTCATACACAATGAATTCTCGAAATAAATTCAATATTTATTTACCAACATAAGATGAACTAGCTTTTTAACTTTTAATAACTTTTGTGTTTTTATATTTGTTTCAGTTATAACTTTAAGAGAACACTATAATTTAGGAGCTCTGGCGGTCGTAATCTTTATGGAATATTTAGAAAACTCACAATTGGAGGAACTATACAGCTTATTACAAAATCTGGAAATTTCTGTTTCAACAAACCAAATGCCAAACAGTGTAGCTAACTCAAACCTCTATATATAGTATAGTTTATTGAAATTTTCAAAATGTGTAATGGTATTATGGTGGAAGAATAAAAATAATTGTAAAATAGTTTATTTTATTTCTTAAAATTACAATCAATTAACATAAATTTATTAGGAAAAACAATAAATGAAACTTAATAAAAACTATACAAATAAGCACAGCCTATTAAATCGCAGACCACTTATGTTTGGTTTATGATAAAGATATATTTTGTTTAAAAACTGTTAAGTGCGAAGAACATCTAACATTTGATTTAGACCACTGAAGGTCAACTTTGGTTTTAATCAATTTTTAATAGTCTGTGCAAAAATAATGATCTTGATTTTATGAAAATTTTAAATGTATATAATTTATACTATTTGACTTGTAGCAAATAAGAATTATATTATTTAACATTAAACTGCCACACCAGTTTTTCTTCTCTCTTTTTGCACAGACTTTGTGTGGTTACAACAAATAATTCATATATCCTGTATTGTATGTATTTATGATCCTGTTTATGTGTAACAATGACAATTTTGAAATCTTTTTTAAATAAATTAATTGGAATATCAAACAGAACATATTGCAAGAATATTTTGCTTAAGGCGACTTAAGATTGACTGCCTTTGCTATTTAATCTGACCAATTGAAGAATTTTCAAAAAATACCACTAACTTGGAATATAGTTTGGTATTTTTACAGGAAAGATGAATACAATTTATACCACAAGCTTATCTGTAGCTTTAACGTGAGCTAAATTTAATAACATGTAAATATTATCTTTTTTGAAACATTGGCTGAGTGAATATATAATATACATATATGCTATTATTAAAATACTTAACGAATAAAAAAACATTACAAACTAAACAATCATAAAGTGTTAATAGAAAAATTCGATTTTTTAGCATTTTCCGCTTTCTAATAAACTACAAAAACATTTTATATGCTTGTATATATGCCTTTATAAATAATGCAATTCAAAATATTTAAACTTCTTTTACACAGTGTACACTCATATTACAAAACTAGGCCTTACAGCTCAATATTATTTTAATTTCTACTCGCTACACATGACAAAATAGTACATATTTTTAATATATACCCATTTATTTAAACAAAAATATCATTAAACATGTAAATTATCACACACAGTAAAATTCTGTTTTAAATTTTAACCTATGTTTTACCAATTTAAATATAAAATATACTTTTTACGTGCTAAGATCTTATTCAAATGAGTGATAATTAGTATGAGATATGTATGCAGGCGAAATTAATTTAATTATCTACTAAAAGGTTTTGATATGGACCCTGTTATCAAAAAACAATGCAATAAAATGGTTTAATCAAATTTTAAATCAGGTGCTAAATAAATGCACTTCTTTCAAACGAAAATATATTTTGAGCCCAATTGTAACGTTTGGTTAAAAAGGGTGAGGTTTATTCCCATCGTCTAATTTGATTAGCTCCAGAATTTAAACGAAATAGTCAATTAATTAATTTTGTTTCAAGTAATAAAACAGTACAGTTTTTGCATACTACACGAATACTATTCGATGAAAATTTAGTTCCAAATACGCTCACGGAGCGCTGTCCAAGTTAGGTTTACAAAAATCGAGCTCCGTTTCTGTTTACGCATCGTCTAAGGGAAATGTCACAACTGTCAAAAATAAATAAATCAACTCCTTTTAAACCATCTTATTTTACTTGAAACTGGCATTAAGTTGAAGCTGTTGCCATAATATTAAAAAATAAAAAAAATAAACATCTTATTTTATAAATGCAAGTATGTTTACTTTTGTCCATTATGAGTCACTAACGAAACTTAAGTAACTAGATGGCGCTGCATGCATTTAAAACGTTCATGTTTAATCATTATTGGTTGAATACCTACATAGTAGACCTTAATATGAAGGTGAGAGTGACATAAATATACTTCTAACCCTTCTAACAACACTAATATATTATGTTTATATCTTTATAGGGTTACCTGACATATACCTTAAAGTGTTACTGCTAAAAAATCCTTACCTTATTTTAATCAAATAACCCTGTAAACACATGTGATTAAGACATCTAGATAAAATATGCACTTCCGTTCACTTATATCGTAAACGAATGATATATTAATTGATTGTTTCTTAAATGATGTTGAATCTTTCTTATTTTATCCTACAAAATTAGTAAAACCTTTCCATTTTTAAAATATACTTTAACCGTTATAATAAGTTTATAATTTATTTTATTTTCGTAAACAACTACATATTAGCGCCATAACGGCATTGGTATATTGATTATCTGTGGGAATTGGATGAGAAAATGTAGATTAATCTCGCTATTATTCTTTCAAGAGAAAATCAAGGATAACAACAACAATTAGTGTTAAAACTTCTCTACGCCTCGAGTGAGCACGTAAAGCTGTACTTGGGGATATGAAACTTATGAAACGGAGTTAGCGTTTAAGCATTTAAAGAACTTTAACGCATGTAGGAATTACTTCATACAACTTCACGAACATTTTATATTTTGTGTAAAATTTATTATATGCCGTTTTATTAGCGATGAATGAAATATATTTTACTCATAAAATAACAATAAATAACGTTACATAATAGTATAAAAATAAATTATATATAAATCTCAAACCTCATATCGAAAAATATATTTTGGTCAGCAAAATAAATCATTTTGGCACTTATTAGCATTTTGAATAAATACTTAAAAGGGCCTTAAAGGCCAAACTTTTTCATCACAGTTTTTTACAGAAGATCCAAAATGTGTATTTTTATGAGTAAAATAAACTATGCAATAAAATGTATAAAACATAACTAATTTTAACCACTACTTGGTTTAACAATACGCTTATATCTATATCAATACCTAGATTATGGCAAATTGGGTCGATTGTAATAACTCAATTTAAAAATATGGTATATCGGAGTTATCTGTGGTTTTATTGAAAAAAAAAATCTAAATATTAGACCATTTTTGACAGAGATTATTGAAGTTTTCGATAGGTTATGTTACGATAGGTCTGCCAAGAAATGTGATAAAAAGTTGAATATTATTACAATAGACCCTTCCTAAATCGCTAGTTGCCGTTCGAAACTAATGACTAATACATAATGTCTTGGACAAGGTTTTAGAGATAACTTTGGAGGTACATAAACAGCCTTACGTTAGTGTGTGAGGCGCCTTAAATATCGTAAAGGCCGCCATTGTTCTGTCCCGATCGCACTTTATCGAGGATTTCGTTCACGAATTCCGACGTTTTGCCAGCTATTTTCACCTCTGTTAACAAATATACAAATGAACATTTTTTTTATTTTACAGTAACCATTTTAATCAAAGTATCATCTGTCTCTTTCTATCACAGAGTAAACACCATTTGACAGAAAGAGGTAGGAGAGGGTACTTTAGTTAAGAGGTAATTCCTGATTTATATTTCATAAAGGAGTTTCTATATTAATTAAAATTTTAACTGACATAAAAAATTAGGTTATCAGTAAAGGTCTGTGATATGGTTGGAATTAGATAATTCAGATTCCATCGTGTATGTTTGTCTACAAATATCTGCTGAAAAGTTTATCCTTATTTGAATTAGGTCAAATTTCCAAAATCAGTTCAGTAGTTTTTGACATATGGATATTCATACTTCTGGAAGAAACCTAGGTTGACTGGTATTTGAAACACTTTTTCATATTTCAGTTAAAACTTTAATACGATTTACATGAAAATATAGATGTTCATTAATCCAGTTACAATCCGGTAAAATTGTATTTTATAGTGGTTATTTCATGTGTTCTTCAAAGTTTGGTAACCTCAGGCATGCGTTTTAAGTAAGATCGTAAAGAAACTCAAGACTTCCGTTTCTATGACACGTTTGCAATTTAACTCCTCCAAAGCGGCTGGACCGATTTTGATGACATTTTTGGGTTTAAAAAAATAAAATATGTTTATTATGGAGTAAAAGATACAGGTATCACTTATTCCACGTCATTAAATTTCAATCTGTAGGCATCCCTACTCATCGGCAAAGAAGACAGAGGGTGTAGGCCGAGAGAAAAAGCCGGCGTAAAAAACTCTCGGTACTCTTTTAAAATAGCAAATCATCAAACAACACTTATTTTAAAACAAATATCGCAAATTAATTAGAAGTAGCCTGTCTAGCACTAGTCTCAGGCCCTTTTATCAACTAGATAATCGTTAACTTTATAGTAAGCCTTTTTACACAGTTTGTATTGTGTATTTGTGGCTTCGAGAATTGTTTAGATATTTTATTTAAGATGTGTGTACAGGACATCGTCTGTCATGTCCGCTAGTATTATATAATTATCATTTAAAAATATGTTTTTATGTATAAAACATAATGGATACTTATTATTAGTTACTTACCAGTGGCTTTGGTGACAATATTATTAAGGTGCGAGCTCCATTCAACATTGTTCTCAGGGTTCGTCACTCGGTTCCCAATCACTTGTTTCATTTGGTGAATACCATTTATTAAACGTTCTGGAAATTTATTCTTAATCAACACTTATTTATGTTACACAACAAAAATAAATTAAGTTGATTTTCTTAACTTATGCATACTATCTATCTAAGTATGGACACTTAAGGTAAAATAAAATTAAAGAAACTATGACACATAGTTCGCGCGAACTGTATCTTACCCAAAGTTATTTTATAAAAACATAATTTCTCGTACCAATCACATAGAAATGTCTGAGCGATTTTAAAATAACATAAACCAAACTGAATAACGAAAATTAAAAGCGTAGTGGCAACAAGAACACGAAGTTTATATTACATATTTTTACCCGCCATTTTTTTTACACGCTTTATATTAGCTTCACATGTATGTATGTATGTAACCGACTCCTTCGGACTCGATTTTGACCCACATTAAACGGACAGATTTAATTCAAACTTTGTACACTTATAACGAATCAGCGACAATATAATAATTTCATAGGTTTATCTCGAAAAAACAATGAATTTTTTTTAAGTCCACAAAGCAATACGATTAAATTGAGACAACACGTATTGCTGCTAGGACTAAAAAGTGGAAAATAAATATAGTTTAAAAAAACTAAAAAACGCTCTCTGTGCCATATTTTTCGTCTATCGAGCAACCCACGCTTTTTCACAATAATACCAGTATTTTTTGTTCATTACCATTTTCAGCCTAAATTAGGAATTATTTTTCACTTTTTAGTTTGATGTGCTTTAAAAGCGTGTTTTTAAGTTTTTTTAACTATATTTATTTGAAGTTATACTTCTTTAGGCGCGTTATGAAAAATTGATGAGGGTGAAATTTTACGATGCGCGCGCACCGTGACACAAAATTAACAGAATGAAGTTGCCCACGGAAGATGCTACGGCATTGGACATAATTTAAAAACAACATTCGAATAATAATAAAATTTATGTTACACTTAATGTAAGAGAATAATAATAAATATTTATTTATTTAATTTTTCAAATGTAAACTGAACTTTATTGACTATAATGACTCCTTTTCCAGTCTTTAATTATTTAATTGTATTTAATTATTTGCATGCAATCAAAAACTATTTTTAATAATGCCAAAGAAGTATAACTTCTTACGCGCGTACGTAAGTACACGCACCCTTTTTTTTGGAGTTTATGGCCTGGTATCTAGACCTTTAGGCCATTATCCGCCATTTCTATAGCCAATAACATAGAGATTATTAATTTGAACCACAGATTATTAAAATATTGATAATCTTTTGCTTTAACCATTTATACATCTATGAGTAATACTTACTATGCTCCTGTTGCAGTCCATACAATTTCAGTTTATTGGCTTCGTGTTGCGCCTTCTTCTTAAGCCGACAAGCGCGTGAGGCCAATTTATTTTTCTCCTTTCTGGTTTTTGGCCGGACATTGAAAGGCAACTCGCTGACCGGTATCATGTCGTTAATTACTTTGCCTAAGTTGTCCAATTCTAAGCCAATGAGATGTAGTTTCCTTGGATTCGGTGTAAGGTCGTTCCCGTCCCCTTTTCTCGCTTTACCACTGAAATTGTTTTTTGTGATAGGTTATGACTGTCGTATATCATTGGATTTGAATTACATATATTACAGTATTGTTTTAATCTTTTGGTCATTGTAAACAAAGAAATATTTCAACGCTCGGGTACTTTTATAAAACAATCTTCCTAATATAACTCTGTATACCAAGTATTGCACGGAAAGCCTTTTAACATTCATTTAACGTTAATTTTTTTAAAGAATTTATTTTAGTCCATTCAACAGATAGTTTAAAATAACCTTAATAAAATATAGGTAAGTACCTGTGTTTAATTCCTTTGACATTACAGTTGGGGCTGAAAACTGGATCGGTGACCAAGTTCAGTACATGTGGGTCTTCCGACTTCTTCTTCAGCACCAGTCTCTGTCCCTTCGGGCCTTTCGCTTGGACGTTGTACTGCCAGAAGTACCTTTCCTTTTTAGCTGCCTGACGAGCCTCTCTCTTTTCTGTACTCTCGTCATTGGATTCTGAAATATAAAAGAGTTATTAAATTCATTCCAAAAAGAATGACATTTCCTGTTCCTCATCCAGCTTTCGGCGCCATCAATTATAGGTCACGTGACGTACCACGTCCGTATGTGAAAAATCCAAAACATTTTTTTTCTTGGACATGATAGTTTCTTTCAGTTCTTCCCTTCATAAAACAAGCAGTTTAATTTTAAAAAAAACAACCCCACCGCTTTGAATACCTTTAAAAGTGATAAACAACAATGTTTCTTCCAGTGGTGTAGCAATAAGACCATATAATGTTTTTTTTTTAATTGTATCATGTTCTTACGAAAAAGAAACATACCATCAGAAGATAGATCCTCATATCTGTCACTATCTTCATCGGATTCATCTCTATCATCCTCGTCTTGTGAGAACTCTCCAGCCCCTGGACTCAGGATACCACCAGATAAAGAAGACATAGAACCAGCCTCAGCCACAGAACTGGTCGATAATAGATGCTTGCGTGGTTCACGACGCTGCCATATCTGGAATGTCATTGATTAAAAATTTTAAAAATATATTCGGTTAAAAAAATGTAGTGGCGCTACAACCTCTTAACAAGTTCGGGCCATTGATTTCTGCATCTGTATCATTAACCATTTTGTCATCATAGACACTTAGCAGGAAAAAAAAAAAAAAAAAAAAAAAAAAAAAAAAAAAAAAAAATTAAAAAATTTGGAGGAAAGGTCGGGAGTGGTATTAAAAACAAACTATAAAATTTTGCAACCTGCTCTGCGGTCCGGAACATTGTTAAAAATAAGTTTTGGTCGTGAAAAAAATTCCAAAAGTTCTGCAAACTTGGGGAAGTTTTCCATATCCGTATTTTTTATATCACGTATAAAATTTGCAACCAACCTAAGTGTACGGAACATTTTTTTATAAAATTAATGTTTTTCTTTATTAAATTGAAGGAAAACGTTCCAAAAGTTCTGCAAATTTGACAGATATATCGAAAATAAAATAAATAACAAAAAATGTTCCGTACACTTAGGTTGGTTGCAAATTTTATACGTGATATGAAATATTATATCGAAAACTTCCCCAAGTTTGCAGAACTTTTGGAATTTTTTCACGACCATACAGCAAAAATTAATTTAATTGCAATTTTAAAAAATGTTCGGACTGCGGACAAGGTTGCAAAATGAGATTTATTGTCGTCCCAATGTACCATTACTTACCGAAGTTTGAAAACTTTTGGAATTATTATCAAATTTTCGATTTCGAAAGTCTATTCACAGTCGAGACTAAGCGCGAATATTTTTTTATGTAATAGGAGGCAAACGGGCTGATTTGATGTTAAGTCATACATGGGCCCCCATGGCCCATACATTGCCATAAGGCCCGCAAGTGCGTTGCAAGCCTTTTAAGAATAAGTACGCCCTTTTCTTGAAGGACCCTAAGTCGAATTGGTGCGGAAATACTTCAGTGGGCAGCTGGTTGGCTCAGTTGTGGAACGACGGACGTCGAGGTGATACGGATGATATTTTGTATTCTGCCTTAACGTCCGATGGTGAAACTCAGCTGTTTAGTCCGGACAACTCCTCTGAACACTCTCCATGTCTAATGCGGTAGAAGATGCAAAGAGACCCCACATCTCTAGGCCAAGGAATCGAGCCGCTCGGAAAGTGACGGGTCGTCTACGATTCGAATGGCTTTTCTTTGAATACGGTCAAGCGGAAGGAACTATAATTCCCGTTTGTCTACTTGCCTATTTTACATACAGGATTCATACCTATCGCTAAGTCTTGACTTGGAATCTTACCCTTAGAGTGGAAATATATGTAATATATATTATATGAAATATTCGGCATTAGGATTCTAATTTGTACAAAACACTTATTTAATTGTTTTCCTGATAGAAGTAGTGGATGTCCCTGGTCGCTCATCTTGTCGCGTTAAAGAAGAATAAAAGAGTGTTCTTTCTTATTATTGGAATAATATGCAGTATCTTTCACTTAATGAAAGTCTGTTAATTGTCAAATTTAAGAAAGGTCTAATGCAATTCAAATTTTATCAATAAAGAATTTAAATAAATATTATTATAAAGAAAAATTATTAAGTAACATAGTAATATCCTATTGTAGTCTTAGTTCCCAGTTCCAAATTTAATACCCAGTTTTATATTTAAATTGAAATATAAAAATATATTAAATATAAATATAATATGTATATGTATTTAAGAAAATTTCCCAGCAATAATATTTTGATGAATGTGTATAAAACAGTATTGATAAAATACTATAGTATTATATAGTGATGCTAGTAATTAATAAAATGATGTAAGGTTGCTTTTATATTGCTAATCACAACTATATACATAAATGTGTATATTAATCTGTTATTCAATTAAATAAACATTTTGATTATATTAAAACAAGTTTCATTAGCACTGCATGAATCACTATTTTCTCAGTTTCTTCATAAAATAAAAACATATATCTGATTAGTGAATGTTTGACGTAACTCTGTTGAAAATATGGTCATAAAATTAAATAGGTCATTAAAATCATAAGCATGAAGAATTATGTTTTAAAAAGCCTAATTAAGATGCAGATTTCCAATTATGAAGATAGAAATATAACAGATAAAATAGATATACTCTGTTAATTAGGGATTTCCAAAAACAATTATATTTTACCTGTTCCATAGTTAAATGTGTTGGTGCTGATGAAGAGAGTGTTGACTGTTGTGTTTTTACACTGGTAGGGAAGGGTGGCAATACTGAAGATGCTGGAACTGACTGTCCCAATGAAATTTCTCCACTGTAACCATCCATACGCAGCAGCAGTTCTGGCAACTGATTCATTGGCTGTGCAAAACTCGATGAAGCAGAACTGTGCTGACTTGATGGAGAAAATGCCAGCTGAGCCCGACTGTATGGGCTACATGGACTTTCAGAGGTCATTGGAGCTGACTGCAATGAGTTTAATGCATTTCTAGAACCACTCATTGCACCGCCTATTTGTATACAGTATTCTTCAGGCATTAGCAAATCTGCAAAGTCCAAATCATCAAGGGATGTGTCAGGATTTGCATTTAACTCTGCTAGTGTTGGCCCAGATATTAAATCTGCTTTGTCTACTTGGAAAATATCATCATCCTCCATCTTATATGGTTCAAGTTTAGTGTTATTATCATCAAATGCAAACTTGTTGAACTGCAATGAGGGCACACTGTGAAATGAACCCCCTTGAGTATCTTGTAAACAAAGATCAAATTCTGAATTCAAGTCCCCAAAATCTGAACGTCTATTTGGAATGGGCACGGAAGCAGACATCGTACCCAGCTCGAAGGGCGACTCCTGTTTTATCTCAAAATTTGAATCTAAAAGAAAGTCATGATTGTAAATAGAATCCGACATTGCACGTGTTTATATAGATTGACCTTGGACGTAGAATCGCCTCGTTAGTACACAGGCGCGCGCTTACGTCTTTATCGATTTTAATTCACTGAGGCCCACGTGTCGCTTACAATGTTTATTATTTTGTTTGTGTATAAGTAATACTACACACCACCACTATTGCACATTGTTATGAAATTAATTAACTAGGTCAATTTCATCTTCCAATTACATAATGGAAAACACACCACAGAATTCAAATCCACTTGATAATTATTATTCACGATGACTTTCGATATTATATGAACTATTCAGAGCACTATAATAGGGACATATAATATATTAGAATCATTGAGAATCAGTTAAAGTCAAAATACAAAACTGTATTGCCAATCCAATCTATGCATCACCATTTAACACTCTTTCTGATAAAATTTGAGACACAATAACAAAAACACTTCCACGAGATTAGACCAGTCGAGAAGTAAACAAAGATTTTATGTTATTCAGCTTTCAAAGGTCATTAGAAAGCGATGGATATACAAAATCAAATATGATAAAAAGAGATAAAGGATTTGACAATCTTGCTAAAATCACAATGTTTGAGGGGACCGAGACGGGAGGGTGACAGGTCAAGCAGGATGTTTGTCTAGGGAAGTACACGGTATCGGTTAATTAAAAAAAGAAAATTATCAAAGTAAAGAAATATAAGATATATAGTTTTAAGCTACAAGTTTTTCAAATATGTATGATTATAAAATTGTATTACTATGTAATAAGACACACATAAAAGTCGATACATCACTAAATACTAGATTTTTTAAATTCAAGTTGGCAGCTGTAGAAATATGACAGTGATGACACTGACGTTTGAAATTTGACAACCAACATAATTACAGATTTACCAGCTGAGCTTCAAATGCTAGGCTCAGTGTAAAATTGCTGAGTTTAATTAATTTTTATTATGGGCGACGAAGAATTAAATTCTAGTAAAACATGTGATAAAAAGAAACATAATGTTGTTATAATTGGGGCTGGTATGGCCGGCTTAGCCGCCGCCAATTACCTTATCAACAATGGGATGGAAGACTTTATCATAATAGAAGCAAGAAAACGAATAGGTGGTCGAATTATTTCAATACCAATGAAGAATCATAGAGTAGAATTAGGAGCAAATTGGATACATGGCGTTCTTGGTAATCCCATATATGAACTGGCCACAGCTAATGGACTTGTCAATATCATTAATGTACCAAAACCGCATAAGGTTATAGCGGCGACAGAGGATGGCAAGCAGGCACCTTTCAATGTTCTGCAGGAAATTCATGAGGCATATGTTTGTTTTTTGCGCAGATGCGAAGAATACTTCTTGTGTCAGTATTTGCCACCTCCAGACATTAACAGTGTGGGTGAGCATATAAATCTAGAAGCTACAATATACTTAGAACGCCTGCCATCGTCTGAAGAAAAGAAACTCCGTCGGTTGATCTTCGATTGTCTTTTAAGAAGGGAAACATGTATTTCTGGGTGTAATTCTATGGATGAAATTGATCTCTCAGAACTTGGTAGTTATACAGAATTACAGGGTGGTAATATATTAATACCCTCTGGGTACAGTAGTCTTTTACAATTGATGACAAAAAATATTCCATCTGAGAAAATAATATCAAAGTGCCCAGTGAAAAAAATTAACTGGAACTCAAATGGTAATTCTGATGATTTAGGAGAAGAATCAGAAGATTCAGATCAAACTGTGATAGAGGATGTTTCTAAGGCATCAAATAATGATAAGATAACTAAGTTGCAAGTTAATGTGGAAGAAAAGCCAAAGAAGAGATCAAACTATGTAGAAGTACAATGTGACAATGGAGAAAGTTATTATGCTAATCATGTTATATGCACAATACCCTTGGGAGTGCTTAAAGATCACGCAGCAACATTATTTGATCCTCAGTTACCACAATACAAAAGGGAGTCAATAGAACGACTATTATTTACCCCTGTTGATAAAATTTATTTAGAGTATGATAGACCTTTTCTGAATCCTGACATAACAGAAATTATGTTGTTATGGGATAACTCAGGTTCCCAAGAAAGTATGGCTGATTCATGGTACAAAAAGATGTATTCTTTTACTAAAGTAAGTGAGACCCTATTGTTGGGTTGGGTTTCAGGTAAAGAGGCTGAATATATGGAAACTCTTTCCATGGAGGAAGTAGGAATAACATGTACTAAAATTTTGAGGAAATTTTTAAATGATCCCTTTGTCCCTGAACCAATATTATGTGTGTGGTAAGTTTTATATTACACATCATATATTGCATTTCTTACTAGTCTAACTTAAATAGTTTTGTTTTTTTATTATCTTCGGAATTTACTAAAGTAATCTTAAGATAACACTAATTCGCTTATCAATAGTATCTGTTTCGTTAAACAAATAATATAGTCATATATGCAAAATACTGTAACTCACAATTAGGCATGGAGTAGATGTTTTTTTATTGAATTAAAAATCGGTATTGGATTAGGAAGGTATGTGACCAGCCTTGTGTGCATTTCATTATAAAACAATGTTTTACTGGAATTTAATGACCCACAGATTAGGTTTGGATTGGTGGTTGTTATGAGTAATATAGGCATCAAATAATAATTTCAGCACAAGTTGGAACAAACAGCCTTACACACGAGGTGCATATACTGCCATCGCAGTAGGGGCAAGTCAAAGCGACATTGAGAGCTTAGCACAACCTTTGTTTAGAAATGCAAGAGATAAAAAGGTATAAATTATTTGAAAACTCTTGTAGGTAATCTCAGAATTTAAAACTTAATGTTGTATCACCATGAAGAAATGTAATAGTAGAAACTGATGACAGACATGCATGATTGTACCTTTATAAATTTAGGTATTATAGTGGTTATGAGCGATTATGATATTATTGAGTATGAACACAAAAGATTAATGAGGGCACAAAATATAAAAATATTAAACAGGCAAAGTCGTGGGTAACTAGTATGAAAATAAAAATGTTTTATCAATAAAAAACAAAACTGATAAACCAGCTAGCTACACCGATATGTGTCATAAGATTGAATTTACTAAATATTTATCACAAGTTAATTATCAAGAAATAAGTTCTAAAAATTTTATCTGAATTTGTAATCTCATTTTAAAAACCTGATAATGTCACTTCTCTTCATCAAAATATTCTATAACTGATTAAAAAAAATTAAGGAAATATTTATCTTAGTTGGTTTTTCACCAATTTTTATGAAATTTATGGACATAAACTGTTATATTAACAAATATTTCTGAATTTATTTTTGATGCACTTTATTTTTAACTCTTACACAATTATTATATTTATTTCATATGAATACAACTACATGTTAAATCATGTAGATATTTCCCATTTTACAGCCAGTATTACTGTTTGCGGGCGAACATACACATAGCAGCTTCTATTCCACTGTGCATGGAGCTTTTTTGTCTGGTCAAACTGCAGCAAAAAGGGTGTTGAGCCCAGATGTGTCTGGTGAGAATCAATTGGAATGTCCTGGTTCTGCAGATTTGCAAGCTTGGATACAAGGCATTCAGATAAACGGGTAATATTGCTATTAGAGAATGCCAGCTACAATTTACATAATCTGTGACTCAATTTTAAATGCAGTGAATCAGAAAAATTATTTGTTATTTGCAATTTTAAACTCGCACAAATAATAACATATATTGGCAGATGTAATTAAGACACTGGCAAGCTAATAAGTACATAAGCTTTTGTTGGGCAACAGCACCTACATGACAATGGCAGCAGGCCTGTTATAATTTATAGACTCTGTAGAATGTGATAGTAATTAATATTTATTTAGGATAAAAGAAGGATGGTGATAGTTTGTAGATGACCATTTCAGAACACAATACTTATTTACTTTTTTTTTTACTATGAGAAATGAATTGGAATACAACAATGAAAGGATTGTGCGGATTTTCTAATGAACTACTTAAATATTTTGTTGCTTATGCATTGAAGATGTTTTTATTTTAATGATGCTTTTCAATTTCTTCTTGGGTTGTGATAATGATTTGACGTTTCAGATTACAAGCTAAATTTATTTACTTATTGTTGTTTTTTGATGAAGTATGTTGACATTCGTTCCAAATATAAATGAATTTCTTATTATAATTTTAGTGGAAATTTACAGTTTTATATCAGTGCAATAAAGTTTTGTATAGCTTTTGTATGATTAAAATATTGTTGATGACAATAGATGTCGGTACATATTGCAAGAATCTAATTGATTATTTCAAGGCAACGATAGGGGTGTTTATGATTTTTTTCGACATATATGCATGTTTTAAAATTATGTAATAAAATAAGAGACTTTAATGTTAATAATTAAAAGTCTTGCAGATACATCAGAATAATGTTTAAATTTAATAAGATTTCCATCTTATATAAAGAAGTATTATACTCACCCAAAGTGATTCAGAGTTCAGACTGTACAGTGCATACTGCATACCAAAGTTTCATACAATAATAGCATAGCAAGTTTTTGAAATCAATGTAGTATTATATTTTTTCTTTATTGGGAGTATTTGAATATAAAAATGGTAAAGGCATTGTAAATAAACGAAATTGTAGAAATTATGTTCTGAATTTTTTCAAGTTAACCTGCAATTTGTTGTTCTAGTCAGGTGCAGGTTTTTTATTGCTTAAATAAAATCATTGAAACATTTTTTTTTGTTTAATTGCCGTTGTTTAAACAAGTAATAGGATAAGAAATTCTACTACTGAAGAGGGTACAATATAAATAGTATTTTTATAAAAATATTCCTTTATTAAAAAAATAAACATAAGGATTATAATAATGTAAAAACAACTATAATAAACAGATTTTAGCACCATAAAAATAATACTTTTTCAATACTAAAACAGTAATTTGAAATAAATATATTGTATTAACAATAATTACATTAAAAAAAATTAAATGAATAAAAATTCTAATTACATATACTTAATTTGTATAAAGAGTTTACTGCCTCCACTTAAAAGACATTATGTTTTACCACATTCTGCCATAATGTACGTACATTGTATATTTGAACCTTTCTGCTTACATGCTTTGAAATTCAAAGTATGTGTTATATAATGATGGCAAGCATAGTAATTAATGTTAGTAAATTCACATATAAGTTTACCTTCACCAAAAAAAACATGTTAATTTTGTTAAATAAGCTACATTATATATTTTGTACCTTAATATATTATAATTGAGATTTTATGTGATAAGACAAAATATATATCATCAGATTTATAGCCAAGCTGGTAAATTCACCATGTTTGCATATTAATAAAATAAATGCAGTTTTATTTAAACTCAAGGGAATGTTACTGGAATTCTTAGTCCAAAAAAATGTCAACAAATTTAAAGCTTCCATAAAATACATATCTTCTTCTACACATACATTTTAGAAGATAAATAATTATAACAATTGAGTATTCTTGTAGCACCTGTTATTGTTAACAGTGAATAATGCAGCATTAGCGTACAACATGTAATTCTATTGTAGAATTTTTCTTTGAAACAAATGGCGAAAGATTTTTCTCCATTTCTTGACTCAATTCATGCCATGCACATTTTCCAATTAAAGGTACTTCCTCAAGTGGTGGTCGGAATACAACTAACAAGGTTAAACAACAACCATGTGCTGATGGGTCAGCCTCTACATTGAAAAGACCTAGAGGTCTATGTTGCGCTACATCTGCACCAAACATTTCAACCATAAACCTACGTAATGTAGAATGAACACTTTTTGCTGGATTTACCTCGCATGTAGGAAAGTGTAAGGCACTTTTCTCGCTCAATAACACATGCATTCTATTTGTACTTCGTTTTTTTATTAGGACAATAAGTCTCAACAAATCTTTTGTGTGTGGTATTGGGGCAGGTAAAATATTTTTATGCCAGGACTCACCAGGCAAACTATCTTTATACATTTTAGCTCTTTCAATTAAATGCAAAACATCATTTGCTCGCAATGTTATCTCATCAAGATTTGTAATCCATTTAGCCTGTAGAGATTCCTTATCTGCTCTGGCAGGAGTTTTTAGTTCCCCTCCAACTACTTTTCCTGTCAAAACAAACCTGTACCAAGTACCACCAGCAGTTTCTACTACAAGCAGAGTTTCCGGTTTGCAGTGGAGCCCAGTCTCTTCCAATACTTCTCTAGCTGCAGCTTGTATTATTGTTTCATCTTTTTCCATACGTCCTGCAGGTAGATACCACTTACCTGCGCAGGTTTCTTTAGCCTCTTGCATCATCAAAATCTCGTTTTTCTCATTTAATATAACGCAGGCGACAACGTAAGTAACATTGCCTCCGAGAATGGGTTTAAAATTTGATGGAGTCGTCGGAGTTATACCTTGAGATTCAGCAACAGAATTTTGATCAGCTATGGTAAAGTCGCAAAAGTCGTTCTCTTCGCCCTCAAGGCCTAAACCTTCTAACAGTTTATTAATATTCAAGTCGACTTGGCGCGACATAGTTACCCACTTAGATATTTCTTTACAAACTTTTAATTAAAATATACAGTTAGCCTCGAAGCATTTTTGGAGTACAAAATAATTTGTTATGAAAACGTTTTAGGTATGTTTACTATTTTGTTCCTGTTATTTAATGGAAATTATTAAGATAACAAAATTCAAAATAGCTTCGATGTGACGACTGACGTTTACTGTACACTACGGCAAGCACAGACCAGTTCAAATACCCCTAAATATCGACACAAACCCGTAAAGCAGTGTTGCCAGATGGTCTCGGCGACCTACCACTAGACTAATTTGATTTCCCCTCAGAAATCCCCTAGGATGCCCTCACCAAGCGGATGGTGGCATGGTATAGGATATTTTTAGTAAAAAAGTTCTTATTACTGAATTTTCATGTAAATTTAGAAATTTCCCCTAAAAAAATTACCAAATATTCTTTCCCCCTATTCTGCCCCTAACTCGGTTGAGAAACCTCTAAATCTGGGGTGATATCTGATCGATATAGAATCGTGCGTTTTTAAGGAAAAAAAGGTATAAAGCATCCCCTAAATTAATGTAGGTCACCTAAAAAAAACACCCTGAGACATCTTTATTACCTCTAAATGTAGGGGTACACCCTCTATGTTGGCATCACTGGTGCAAGAAGTAGCAAACCTAGAGAATTTGGTAACAAATAGGGGGCTTCCTAAAGATGCCTTAACAGTAGTGTATGGAGAAAGTTCTACATACATTACTGTTGAGGTTCAAAGCTTCTAATGACAGACATGAATGTTTAGCCCTCTTCGGTGTCTGCTTCGCACTACGTAGAATAGAAGTAATATTTATGTTTAGAGCAGGTGGAAAAAATTAATTTAATTAATAATATACATATCTAGAATATGTTATCGTCAACTATTATCATCATGATGATGATATTTATTTATCCCTAATGAGAGAAAGGTCAACTATTTTCATCTTGTTATCATAGGTATAGTATTCTGTTGAGTTGAAAGGTGTTGACAGTCGGCTGCTGTCAAATCTGTTTCTGTTTTGACTTTTGTATTGTGCATTGGGTACACTACTTACTGCATTGTTCAATGTTCATCCAAATTGTTCATGTTTTCATATTTTTGTCGGTGTGACATAATTTATTATTTTTGGATATAAATTTTTTGTAATTTGTTTTTTTAGATATGATACATAGTTAAACATTATTTGTCTACCATGACATTAAAAGATGAAGATTTAAAGGAGCAAACCAAAAGGTTACGTTTCAAAAATGTTAGCCAAACATTTTCGGCAGAACTTGGAGATAGGCCCATCAAGGAGACTAGACATATAGGTAAAGAGAAAAATTTCATGATATACTTAGAGTAATATCTAGAGTAAGAATCTATATCATATAGATTCTTACTCTAGATCATAATAAGTTTATTAAGCACCTTTATCAGATATATCTTACAATAACTAATGATTTTTCAGATGACGAAAAGAGAGCTTCCTTATTCACATTTTTGCATGTAGAACTTACAAGAGGCTATTTCTTAGAACATGATGAGGAAAGGTTCTCAGCACGACGTGAAAAAGTCTATTCTTTCATTAAAATACCGCAAGAGCTTGAGAAGTTTATGGCGTATGGGTTCTTTCAATGTGCTGACTCTCTACTCTTTATTTATACATTTCTTCCGTTACGATTTATTTTGGCCTTTTGGTCATTTTTGGATAGATTATTTAGGAGATGTTTTGGGTAAGATTTGAACTTCCTTATTACATAATAAGAATATTTTAATATGTATCATATTATATGAGCATAAAATATATCCTTTCTCAAATGTATTGTAACATCTGCTTTGTCAAATGTATTTTATGTGAAAGATAGAAGAATTTGTTTGTACCCTAAAGTTGACAGCAGCTAATCTACAATTTATTGATTTTAGGTTCTATTCAAATACACGATCCAGCATTCTCAAGCCAGCTGAAACATGTGATGTACTTAAAGGATTTATTTTATTAGTATGTAGTATTCTCATGTGTTATATAGACACAAATATGATGTATCATCTTGTGAAGAGTCAAAGTGTAATGAAATTGTATATTTTCTATAATATGTTAGAAGTTGGTGACAGATTATTCTCAGCATTTGGTCAAGATACAATAGATGCACTGTTTTGGACTGCAACGGAACCAAGAGATAGGAAAAGAGAGCATTTAGGTGTAATTCCACACCTAATATTTGCTATGATTTATGTGTGTATCCTTTTATAAATTCCTATTACATATAGGTTGCATTTATAAAATACAGTTTTTCATGATTAAAACATTAGTATAAGCTTTCCCATAACTAACCGTAGTTTCCAGTTTAAAGTAATGTAGGTAAAAAATTGCAGTACCTTAACTGTCTACCATTAAAATTCGATAAGATAAAAAAATATTACAAGTCATGGTGAATAAACACAATTAATGTTTAATTTTTTTTATAAGTATGTATAATAATAAAAATATATCTCCTTAAATTATATCAGTTCTTCACAGTTTGTTAGTGCTGTTTCAAGCAACAACACTAAATGTGGCCTTTAATTCGAACAATAAGAGCCTTCTCATCATAATGATGTCAAACAATGTAAGTTGATGTCATGAATTAGATCATAATGGGAAATGCTGATGTCAATGTTAATTTGCTAATAATGCGTTATAATGATTTTGTGATAAATTAGTTCATTAGCGCATACATATTTATGTATTTTGTATTTCAAGCAACAACTTAATGAAAACAATGTCAGGAGTTTAATTAAGGTTAAAAATATTTCGTTTTTGGTTACCTTTGTAAAGAGCAGTGTTGGTCTAGTGGCTTCAGCGTGCGACGCTCACCCCTGAGGTCGTAGGTTCGATCCCCGGCTGTTCACAAATGGACTTTCTTTCTATGAGCGCATGTTACATTCGCTCGTCAGGTAACCGACATGTCTTAGACCCAAAAAAAAACAAAAGAGTCGACGGCGTGTGTCAAGCACAGGAGGTTGATCACCTACTTGCCTATTAGATAAAAAAAAATGATCATGAAACAGATTCAGAAATCTGAGGCCCAGACCTAAAGAGTTTGTAGCGGCGCCGATTTTTTCCTTTGTACCTTAAACACAAGATTATCTTTAAAGTAAACGGATTCTTAACATGTTTAGTAAATGTGTCAATATATTTAAAAAAATGTTTTGTACAGAGAATTAGAAGCTAAACATTTTTCAATAATTTAAACCATACAAATTCAGTATTTCCCATATTATATTATTTTTAAAATAAAATTTATTTAATCTATAAATATTTATTTTTCATAAATCAATTATATATAGGTATTTAAAAATTTCAGTTTGTGGAACTAAAAGGTAGTGTATTCAAGAAATTTGACAAAAACAACTTATTCCAAGTGTCTTGTAGTGACGTGAGAGAGAGGTTGCATCTCTCCGTCTTGTTGTTTATTGTTGTTCTTCAAACAATGAAGGAATATGTGTGGAAGGAGGAACGTTTTTGGATCCTAGCACCGGACTGCGTCCTGGTTTTGACATTTGAAGTGATTATTGACTGGGTGAAGCATGCTTTTATTACAAGGTATGAATATAAATTAGTAGTTGAAAACAAAAATATTTCAATAAAAAACAATTTAAAACATTGATTACTAAAATTCTTATTTCTGACTATAGACAAATATTTCTTTCTCATATTATGTAGTGTCCCAGACAAAGTTTTTAATAGAATAAAGGAAAACAATATTTTTTTAAGATTTCATTTATAAATGATAGATGAACTGGGTTCAAATACCAATCAGGGTTCGTAGGCATAGAAAGCTAATCACTGGTTCAAAAATCGACCCATGGGCCAGTAGACAGAATTACAATAATAATAACATTTATTTAGATCAGGTAACGAAATAAGTTAGAATAGCATAATTTAGTCTTCGGCTTCACGATCTTCATTTCGGCTACCCATCTTTTCACTGGCTTCGCCGTTTCCCATTTCTTAAGTACCAATAATAATAATAAAGCCCGTTTTATTTCCAATCATGACAAAAACAAATTATAATACACAGCTTAGATTATTTTACATTTTTTTCTTTTGCTTGCTATCTTATATCCTAGCTTCCTTCAGCACCGTTGATCTGAACCCCTTCACGGGTAAAGGCCTCCTCCAGCTTTTTCCCAACTGACTCTGTCTATGGCTCTCTTTCTCCATTCGTTTCTTGCTACCGTTTCGATTTCTTCCATCCACCTTTTTTTTGGGCGACCTCTTCTCCTTCCTCTTGGTCCTTTCCATAAGGAAATTTCCTTAGAAGAAGGAGAAGAGGGCTAAGTACCAATCGTTCTGCTATTTCTCGACTCCGCAATATATGTATATATATACTCGTGAACGGGTGCTACTTGTGGTGACTGGTCGGACTTGAATTCGTTTGCGTGTTGTTCCCACGAGAATGTAAGTGCGTGCTCCTATTTCACCATGCCTCCTGCTGAGTCTTTGTTTTTAATAATGTTATTATTATTAATTACTTAAGATGTCATGTTGAACATGGTGTAATGGATGCAGCTCCTTACAAATGTTGTTATAAAAAAAAACATGGCGATTAAAAAGAGTGGCGGAGAATTTATTGCCAGATATCTCTTCAGTTCTACGCCCTTGATTTGAGAACTGGCACTAAATGTTAAGTTAGAAGCATTTCATATACATTTCTTTTTTTGACCATCATAAGTGTAGAATGTGTTACCTATATTATTAAATGATTTTTGAATTTTGAATATCTAGAAAGCTCCATTAGTTACAGCCTAAATCAACAGATTAATTTCCACATTTCAGATTTAATGAGATTCCGTTTGGTGTATACCGGGAGTACACAGTAAGTTTGGCGTACGATGTGGCCCAGACACGGCAGAAATATGCGTTTAGCGATCACTCGGATCTGGTGGCACGAAGGATGGGGTTCATACCACTGCCTTTGGGGGTCGTTATTACGAGAGTACTGGTACATGCCGTGAAGGTTG